ATTCCAACTAATTAAGTGAGGTTTTTTATTACCTAAGGAACCCCAAATAAAATTATTACATATAGTATCAATTTCATTACAAACAGATTTAGGCATCATTATGGATTGTATAAAGTAAGTAGGAATACTTATAATACAAGACTAGGCTAAAATGACCCTTCCAGCCATAGATAAGGTTTTTAGCTTCCATAAAAAAAGTTTTTTCCTGACCTTATCCACTATAAAAGAGAAATCCTACCTATTTAGACTAAGATGGCTAATAGGTATGCCTAAATAATTTTCAAACTTATGGGTCGGATTAAAACCCAGATAAGAGCAAATATCTTGAACAAGGACAGGGTCACTAGTTTTAAAAAAGAAAACAGAGAATTTCACTTGATTAACCGATAATCAAGATGCGGTAAAGAAAGTATTAAGAACATTCCTAATAATTTCAGCATTAGTTTTATCAGCTTTAGCCACTAAAACTATGTCATCAGCAAAAAATAAATGGGACACCTCAGGACCCTAATTACTAAAAGAGAAAGGGGTCTAATTACCAACAATAACTTGGTCCTGAATTAAATGACCTAATCTCTCTAGGCAGAGAACAAAAATATAAGGAGATATAGGATCTCCCTGTCTAATACCTCTAGAAGGTCAAAAATCCTCAGTTCTGCTATTATTCCAATTAATGGTCATAGAGTTAGATGTTATGCACTGATAAATTAGCTCAGATAATTGATTGTTAAGGCCAATTTTTTGAATTGTGTCTTTTATGAAATTCCATCTTAGCTTATCATAAGCCTTTTCAAGATCCAATTTAACAATCATATAACCTGTCCTATTTTTAAGTCTACTGAAAGAGTGAACTAATTCCTGAATCACTAAAATATTGTTGGTATCTTGCCTGTTTTTTATAAAACTAGTCTGATTTGGTGAGATTAAATTAGGCATAATTGCACTCATTCTATTGGCAAGCAGCTTTGTTATAATTTTGTAACTCACATTACACAAAGAAATAGGCCTAAAATTACTAACATATTTAGGGTTTTCTTTTTTGGGGATAAGAGTAATAGATGTGTCATTAACCGCAGCAATGTTATGGGGGTTTTTTAAAATATCATATACAAACTTAAAAATAAAAAGTCTTAAAAAATCTCACTGGTTTTTAAAAAATAAAGCATGAATTCCATCAAGACTAGGGGCTTTGAAATTTCTTATACTAAATAAAGAAGCTTTAATCTCTGCACAGGAAATATCAAAATTTAAAAGAACAAGATCATCATTCCCTAAGATTAGGAAAAGTAATCTTAGTTTGAAGAGGGGAACCTGTAAGCTCATTATCACAATAAAGCTTTTTAAAATAACCAACAACCTGAATTTTAAGCTTTAAGGGGTCATAAACCCAGTTATTCCTGTCATCCTTAAGAGCTTCTATCAAATTATTATGTCTACAAATTAAAACAAATTTACGAAAAAAACTAGTATTTCTATCTCCTAATTTGAGCCAGTTAGATCTATAATGATGAAACCAATAGGTTTCTTCTTGATTCAAAATTTCTTGATATTCCCTCCATAAGGAATTCATAAGATTTGAAAGGAAAGAGTTATCACTATTTGCTAATTTACAAGATATACCCCTAATTTTATTTAAAATTCACCTTTTCCTATTAAAAATATTACCAAACACTTTGACATTCCAATCAGAAATATTATTTTGGAAAGAAGATATATTTTCAGTCCAAGATCTAGAGACAATCTAAGAATTCTTAACCTGATTAGGAAAATCACTATGAGTCAACCAAGGAGCTAGAAATTTAAAAGATTTATTAGAAGGAACATATCTATTACCATCTCTAATTCTTAACCATAACCCGTGATGGTCAAATTTAAGCAGTGGTAAATGAATAAGAGAGCTGTTAGGAAAAAGCTCCCTCCAGAAATCACTAACAACTACTCTATCAATTCTCTCCTTCAACTATCCTTTGTGCCAAGTAAAGGGGTCCCCTTTAAAACTCAGATCTTGTAAGCCACAGGTATCAAGACAGTTAGCAAATTGTTGGATTAAGTTCATATTAGCTGGTTTTCCCCCAAATTTCTCATTTTCATAAAGGATTGAATTAAAATTCCCAGCTACACACCAAGGTTTATCAATATTTATACTAATGTCAGACAGAAGATTCCAACAATCAGTTCTCAGCCCCTCATGAGGGCTAGCATACATGGCAGACAGAATCCAATCCCAATTGTCCATACAGATATTTAGGTGGACAATATATTTATTTGTCTCTAAAACCTTAACTTTCACTCTACTAGTATTCCAGCAGTACCAAATACTGCCAGAGAACCCCATAGCATTCACTCTAACTTCCCCATCTAGATTGATTTTTTTAATGACCCTATCAGCTTTAACAAAGCTTATTCTAGGTTCAAAGATAGCAATGAAATCAAGATTGTGAAGTTTAATAAGATCATTAATCATTCTGTGGAAGGTTTTACTCCCAGCCCCTCTGCAATTCCAGAAAAGATAATTCATATAACTATTAATTATTATTAGTAGCATCATTAAGATGCTGGTCTATACTTGCATTTTCATAAGGTACCACACTAGAATCAGTGGACTTTTGATATTTATTGTTTGAATTATCAAGCTCAATCAACAAGGGCTCATCAGGTGGTTTATCAGTAGGTTTGTGCTCTAAAAGCCCTTGGTTCCTACCCAAAAAATCATAATTAAAACCCACCAGATTTTGGATAGAATATACTAAATTTGGGTTAGTATTTATTATGTTCTAAAAGTGTTTCATCAGTACAAAAGTGTCCTGAACTTCATGATTATTAAGATTGTTTAAGTTTACTTGATCAGATTGAGGGATAACTATAGTATCCTGAGAGCAAGAACTTTTTTTCTCATTGCTCCCTTTGCTAATAGTAAGAGCATAACTATTTTTATTAGATTTCTTAACAAAATTACCAACTTTGGATCCATTAGAGAGTTTAGAGTTTAGCCTGTGATTCACAGGATTCTTAGAGTAACCTGTACTCTTATACATGGAGTCAGTCATTTTAGTAATAAGCATGCCTAAGTTTTCATTCTGATCTAAATTATCAAGAATTTCAAATCTAGACCCTATATGACTCTCTTTTTTCTTAACTGGATTCATGGAAGACCCATTCGAAAGGGAAGGATTCAATTTTTTCCTGAAAGATTTCTTTGCCAACATCTAAGGACCAAACTGTTCCTTTTCTTTCTCAGATATATTGTTATTATCTTGCATTATCATATCGTTACCAGATTTAGGACTACTAATTATGTGACTGTCAATTTCCCCTGTGTCATGAAGATTATGGCCCTCAGTGTCTAAAAATGTTTTAGTAGAATTAAGATTTTCACTACATTGCTCCTGTCTATGCCCATATTTACCACAGTGGAAACAGATAAGGTGTAACCCTTCATACTCTACTTTAAATTCTTGACCAAGAACCTTAAAAGTTGGTATCAATTTTTTCCTTAAGTCTATCTCTATACAGATCCTAGCGAATTTTCCCCTGACTACTAAAGAGGTGTGGAGATCAATCTTCAGCATTGATCCCAAACAATTCTCTACCTGCCATAAGAATTTGTTATTGTAAAGTTCAAGGGGAAGGTCAGGAATTCTTACCCAAACCGCAATCTTCTTAAGGTCATAATTTTTAGTTTTAAACAAGGGTCTCCATCTTTGTACTAGCAGATAGTGATCCAAGATTAACTAAGGCCCTTCAAAAAGGGCATGTTTATAATCTTCCATATTTTCAAACTTAATAAGGAAAAAATCATTATTTAAATCAAGAATTTTCAGAAATCCATGTTTACCCCAAATATTACTTAATTTTTAGCTTAAAAAATTGAAACTAATTGATTTCCCTAACAGCTTAACAATTAAGGGTAAATTTTCAAGGAGCACACCAATCCTCGTAATCCTCTAGGGGTATTTTTAACTCAGGGCACAGATCTTGAATTTTATCATTAGTTTCAGTATCATCCACAACATCTAAAGCAATATTCAAATCATCTAACACTGTTTTAATAATTTTAGCATCGTTTAAAACTAGATCCATCTCATTTGACTGTAAGACCTTATCTTTATAAGATGAAGATGCAGAATAACAGGGTATAGAAGGCACCTGGATCGATTCTGGAGCCATAGCGACTACCTCTTCTTGCCTGCATACACTTGACGCTTCCAATGACACCCTGTCGTTCATTTTTACTTTTTTGGTGCTTCGATCCATGAGATCCATCTCCTCTTTAGATCGCTTCTCAGCCTCATGCTTCTCCATGACCTCTAAGCTCTCTAGACAGAGGAGCTAGAGTCTTTATTTGTCCTTCAGAATGAAACAACATCCTCCCTACGATCAAGAAAAATGTCGCGAGTACTTTGGATTTGCTAGAGCGAGAACCCTAGCAGCGCCGCCTGAGCCCTCTTCTCTCATAATGAAAAAAGTGTTTCTTGGAGCATTTCGCAAGGAAACCCTAAAAGTCCAAAATCTCAATTTCTTAAAAATATTTTTATTTTAACCATTGAATAATATTGTCATTCTAAGTAAGTTGATAGAAAGATTTGTATAATATTAAAATTCCAAAAACTTCAAACGATTATTTTGTTTAGTCTGGAGATAAAAAGTAAAGAGGCATAAATAAAGGAAGATGTTTTTCATACAATTTTATGCTCTTATCACTTTATGTTCAGAATATATATATATATAATTAAATGATAACAATTGTATAAATATAAGATAATATGAGTATAAACAAGTGTATTTAATATTATATTTTATAAATAAACGATTAAAAACATGGGAGAAAAGTGGAAAGGAGATAATGTTAGTGGGTAAATGTGGGGCATTCATACATTATTATTATTATTATTAATTGGTAAGAGTGTGGCATGGCTTGGAATGAGTTGTGTATTTAAGCTTGTGTATGCATACATTACAGTCACTGAGTATATAACTGAGTTTTGAAGATCTCCTTGTCTGTCTCTGCTCTGCCACTCCTTTCCCCTCCCCTGCGCTTTCATCTGTGACCGTGACCCACCTACGTTGAGTGAGTGAGAGAGAGAGAATGAACGAGGGTGAAAGAAAAAAGAAGCAGCAGAAGAGGAGCATGGATGCTGAGAAATGCAGCAAGTAAGGTGGCTGTGGCTGCAGCATATGCATGTGGGTGGAAGAAACCTCTGCTTTATCCACCATCTCTCACTGTACTCATCTTCTTTTTTTCTCTTCTCTTTAACCCACAATAATGCATTTCTTCCTTTCATCTTCAGAGTCACTCCTGATGTTCTGCATTTTCAAAAAGCTGCAAACTTTTTTCACAAAAATAAAATAAAATATGCAATTGCTTCTCAGAAATTGTTGGCTCACTCATTACCTGATCCTCTTCGCATATATGTAACGTCTATTAGTCTCATTTATGTTGAAAAATTATTCAATAGAATTAAAAATGTTTTTTTCTCTCCCTCCCACTTCTTCTAAAAGGGATCACAACCCCTAAGAATTTTCGTGTGGTTTTTAGTTGCCATTGTTATTTTCAACTTTTCATGAAGTTACTCACAAATTTCGTGTTCTGTATCTAAGAAACACCTTATGATTATAGATATAAAATAGTTTGACAGTGTTTGTTTTTGTGCTTGTTTGCAGATCCCAAATTCCTCATCTGCATCTCCATCAACAACAAAAAACTCGTCAAGGGAGCTGAGAGAAGAAACATGTTGCAGTATCATCCCTCATAAGGTAATTGTCCTGTGAACTGTGGAGACTCCCTCCCCTTCCCTTTATTATATTTTTAACAAAATGAGGAATGCCCCCTTGCACGTGGTGCATTAGTGAAGCTGAGGATCAATTCATTATGATTTCAGAGCCCTAGTTGGGATACATGCATTGTAAATAAATTTTCTTCTATTATTGTGAATACTGTTCAGAATGCTGTCTATGTTTATATGTGTCAATATAACTGTCTAATACATAATACAAAAAAGAAAACGTGTGTACGCCCATGCGTGAGCTATATCACCCCAAGGAAGGGACAAGGGAGAACTTTTTATGATGCACCAATCTAACACCGGTTGAGCATTGAATCTCGGCATATTTTATGACAAATGTTTCACTGTATTTGTCCCAACTTCAATCAATTGGTAAGCAGCTAGAACAGTTTATTGAAATGCATTTTGTAAGACATTTGGCATAAATAGTTCAAATTTTTACGTATTTGTTTTGTTTGTGTTTGCTCTCCAACAAAAAATTTTTTGTTCAATTATGGTGGTTGTTTGTTTCAAGATAATAACATTTTGGAGAAAAACTTTAGGAGTGTGTGACATCACACTTCACCTATGGGATTCGTCCTTTTCCACTCAAGTTATTGTACATTATGTAAAATGCATGCACACCTAGAAGTTCCTAACAAAAAAGCAAACTAAGCATGCTTTTTATTTTTCGGGTCAAACAATAAAATCTAAATATGCTATCACTCTATAAAACTAGTTTTTCTCGGTCATGAATTTTACATACGTGTTCCTGCGTAGTTTGACTCATAAGCTTTGGTTTACTTGTTTGGCAGAATTTGTGTACAATATGTTTAGATCCTCTGAGTTACGACAGTAAAGGCAGCAGTCCGGGTCAAGCTATATTCACTGCTCAGTGTTCTCATGCATTCCATTTTGCTTGTATCTCCTCCAATGTCTGCCATGGTAATGTCACTTGCCCAATTTGCCGTGCCCATTGGACCCAGCTCCCTCGCAACCTCCACAACAACCTTTGCAGTTCGATTACTGCTATTAACCAAAGTGATCCAATCCTGCAAATTCTTGACGACTCTATTGCTACCTTCCGTGTTCATCGCCACACTCTGTTGCGATCCACCCGCTACGATGATGATGATCCTGTTGAGCCTGATGAAGCATCAAACTTACCCAAGCTGTGTTTCTCTCTTGTACCTATTCCCCCAAATACAGCTACTAGTTTCCACCCAGCTTCTCAAGTGACCAAGCATGCCTCATGTCATTGCTATCTATCCCTTCATCCTCTATCCTGCAGCTCCTCATCATTGCTACAGTCTCCACCTATACATACACCATATATCATGTGCCCCTCCTCTAATAGATCTTATCTTTCGTTAAAACTAGCCCCTGAATTAGCAACTGACTTGGTCTTAGTTGCTAGCCCCAATGGACCACATCTGAGGCTTTTCAAACAATCCATGGCTTTGGTGGTTTTCTCCCTCAGACACGTTGATCGCTTGGCCATTGTTACATTCTCCTCAGCTGCAACCCGTGTCTTCCCTTTAAGACGCATGACGCCTTATGGGAAGCGCGCTGCCCTTCAAGTTATTGAGCGTGTATTTTATATGGGACAAGCTGATCCAGTTGAAGGGGTAATGAAAGGAATTAAGATACTGAAAGATCGCGCACACAAGAACCCCAAGTCTTGTATACTACATTTATCAGATTACCCTACAAGACCATACCATGCTATGAACATGGAACTCCCATCCACACCCATTTACAGATTTCGTGTGGGATTTGGATTTGGCACTTCTAATAGATTTGTCATACAAGAATTTGAGGGGTTATTGGCCAAAATGCTGGGAGGCATTGTCCGAGAAATCCAACTGAGAATTTGTGGGACTGGTGAGGAAGTTAGCAGTGGCAGGGTCATAAGAATTGAAGAGATGAGGGGCGGAGAAGAAAGGAGAGTTATATTAGACCTGGGTGACTGTACACATGTATGTGTAGAATATAGCTACACTGAAGGAGAAATTGAAGAGCGTGTTAGAAGAACTGGGGAAACTGTTGTAGGTGTTGGAGACCATAAGGGTAGTGTTACAGAAGCTGCTGAGGAGAGGAGGAGGGATATGAATACAGTTGTTAGGACTACCAGCGTTGAAAGCTGGAATTTTCATGACCCTTACATGGCCAGAAGATGGGCCAAGCACTTGCAGGGTTATAGGCTTTGAAAATGCAACGCTCTCTCTCTAGACCAATGCATTCCTATTCGGAAATTTTTACGACTTCACCAATCCCCTGCATTTATAGCATGTGTAGTTCATCTTAAATCTATAAATATATTCATTTATTTTTCAAAAGCTCTCTTAACTCTCACGAAATTGAAAGAAATAAACAATTACTGAATTTGAGAAGGTGCGTAATATTATTTCTTCGTCCCCTCGAACAAAAAGAATAAAAAAACATGTTATGTGAAGGTCATGTTTAAAACAATATTGGCATCGGCCGGCATTCGCAGATCACGGCACAATCGTCATGCACCAGTTTATGCATATCGTCTACAGCTAAATTTCTGTAGAGAAGGCTATATTGATCTCAACGTGAGTGTTAAATGTTTGCTTCTCCGACTAGTAACTATAAATCATTGAAGTAGTATTTGAATGTATTTCGTGTGACATAAAATTGCGTATTGCATATACTTCTGTAGTGCTACCTGCAGTAGATCCGAAATACATGATCATAAAAAAGATTTGTACAAATGCATCTCCAAGTAGGCCTCTGACACAATTTATCTCCAACTCAATGCACAATGAAAAACATTATTCAATGAGATTATTGTAAAGAATGACCTTCAGTTTAATCTCCATTAGGTATTATTCCATGGCTAACAGCAATTAATCGTGGTTGTAATCATACTCTTCGAATTCGGTATATAACAAAGAGCCGTCCTCCGCCAGGTGAAGTAGGGGAAAACATTCGTCACAAAAATAACAAGGGTTTTCTGGTGTCCATTTGTCATCCGCCGTGACCTTTGTAGCTCTGAATATTTTGCAAACACTACATTTCTGAAAACGCAACTTCAGTTGAAACGTGATTATTGGATATGCAGCTCGATTATGCACATCTTCCGGATGAATTAACCGCATATCTCGTATCACTAAGGTATGAGTACAGTCACCCTGCAGGTTCAGGCAGAGAACAAACCGCATTAAATGCCTTCGAAGTTCTAACAACTTGAAGAAAAACTAAAAGTATATATAACACGTAAAAATCTTGTAAATACACAAGAAAAAATACTCGCATTCTGGATCCTGAAAGCCAGAGATCGGCCAAATGACACATCATCTGAGCTGGGACTCAACAAAGATAACGCTTTTTTGAATAAACTATCTCCCCTTTTCATTTATATACCAAACAATGATGACCTCCTCATGTTTTGCAATTGAAGCGTCTAGCTCCTGTACTAATATAATTAGTAGCCTTTTATGGCTAACTTCCCTTTCTTTATTTGGAATATTGAAAGCTACAACTTCCATTGATAAGTGCAGATAAATAGACACTGGTTTTAGAAATTATTCCATCCTCAACCCAAGAAAAGAACTTGCATATATGACCTTCCTTGTGTCACCTTAATCCATCTTTGCAAGGGCTCTTGGCTACTAATTTACAGAACGTGTTTTTCTCAATAAAACAAACAAACTACATCCAGCATCAGCGTAGAGGTCAAATTTTGCTATTTGACGTCTTCACTATTAACTTTAATGGCATTTGACAGTTGTAAAATAACACAACCATAGCCAAACTCCCCCTTCATTTACCATACCATGTTTTGTGAGCAATGTTTTCCTTAAAAGAAAAATTAAATAAAATATAAAGAAGGCAACAACCGAAAGGAAAGTACCTGATGACAATAGAGGTATCCGGCACCAAGTCGAAAGCTTAAGTCACAAAAACGTATCTTGTGCATCTCAATAGATGTGAAATGAGGCAACTGTGACGCAGATGCTTCACCCATGATTGCTTTTTGTTTCTGCTGCAGTTCCCCAGTTATAATATATTCCCATTTCTTTTTTGCCTCCTCCTTAGAGTTCCGGAGCCAATCCAATATAGGTCTGGTGAAATCAATAGCAGATGGATCCCTCAAATCAGTGCAGAATACACCCTGCAAAGAGATAGCTTGTGGTCAGATTCAATGAAGAAATAGTTACCTCATTACAAGAGTAAGTAATGGTATATACTTCTATGAGAAAATAACCAGAAGGATCGTGCTGCCCAGCTTTTTGCATCACCTGGTCCGTTGAGCAAAAGATCTTGTCTCTCAAAGCAGTTAAGGTCTGCCCTCCAAGAACTAACAACTCTTGGGTCTACCCAAAAATCAAAGAACAGAGATTCCTATGTGTTAATCAGTTATTCAGAAGTAGTTATACAATTCCTTCTAGAAATCAGATGTTGGATTTTATTTTCATTAACATCAGCATGGCATTGAATACCTTGATACCCTTTCGAACGTTATGGTAAACCTCCACAGATAGAACAACTTCCGGATACAGCACAGGTATGTGTTCCTGAAGGCCAGCTGTGTTGACCTGCCAACATTAAATCTGAATTATAATTGAGACAATAAACACGAAAAAAGTGGGGAAATGCATGCAAATTAATTCTGGCTAAAACATATTCATAATAATAGTTGAATATTGAGCAAATCCTGGATGCCCGGTTATCAACTTTGCGCTTGCAGCTGATCAAAAATGGCAAAACCAACTGGTGTTGGTAGTCAGCTGCAAGAAAGTTGCATATGGATATAGAAAAGAAAAAATTTATACCTCCCAATAGAAGGAACCCTTAAGTAACTCCTGACTTGATTTCTAATGAATTTTGGTGTTTTTAGTTGGTTGTAAACTTCTTTACTTCAAGATAAAATAATTAATCCAACTGACAAAGGAATATAGAATAGAATGGCAATACAGAAAGCCAAAAGTTAAGAAGGTATACGTCTAAGAGGCTATTAATTGCTTTAGCTCATCTAAAAGTTGGATACATCAGTGAAGTGTTTCAAATTGAACCAAATGATTTCATATGCAAAAATAATCAGCTAAGAGTTTCAGGCAACCTTTCTGGTAGAACTTGTAGACCTAAGGGACCTCATCCTTTCAGTTCTAGCTGATTTATTGGCAGACTCACTGATCCTGCAAACAGGACTAAACAAAAGACAAGATGCATGAAATCAAATATGATATAGAAAATGGAATAATCAAATAAATATTAGTAATACCTACCTAAATGAATGAAGTCTGACCGCTGCCTTGTCTTCTTCCTGCTTCTGTTTGATTCCCACTACTCGCTCCACCTTTTCTATACAACTACTCTGGAAACTGAATAAGTTAGTTTGTACACAAACAACATAGTTTTCGTTATAAACCAAAATAAACTGTTAAAACTTAAAAATCATTAGTTAGAATGGCCAATTATCAACTTCTAATACGCATCATAAACCTTCATATCTCAGGCATTAAATCAACAAGAAAAACTTTGCATAAACATCAAATAATTACAGCGAACATAAATGATTTTAGAGAGAAAGCAATAGTATACATCAAGAATAGAATTATTTGCGCCCCTTCTCTTTCTCCTTGAGTTCTTCTTGTGACACCTGCTGCCAAATACAATAAGAAATTCTTTACTTAATTTGTTTACTGCAAATAGAAGTTGAGCCAGAAGAGAGCGAATGGGATGCACAATCATATTTGAAATGAATGTCAAGGAGAGAGCAGGAACAAACAAGTTAACAGCTAAAAAAGAAAACAAGTAATCATATCTCTGAAGCAAACAAATTTTTAGTGCTCCCATAGGACTCCTTCATATTAACTGCCTTATTGTGACAAATTTGCTTCATTTTTTTAATTTTTTTTTTGTCTCAAATAAGGAAAAATTAACCACACATCTAGGTGTCTGTACTTTAATAGAAGCAGCATGTCCTAATGTAATTGGATTGATACACCATACAACTTTGCACTGAAATGAATTCTGACGATGCTATAGGGGCAAGGGCAACCAAATATCCCCGTAAAACAAAAGAACATGAGCAGCAAAAAGAGAAAAGAGACTGACCCTGCATTGGGTTGGTCCAAAGGTGGGGGATGATTTTCGTTGTTCTCACTACCCTGTGATATCGCTTCCATCAATAAAAGGAGTGAAAATCAGTTTTGTATAAGCATCAGAGCATATATACCTGAAAAACTTCTTTCAAAGCCATATCCATTAACTCGTCCTCTGTGAATACTTTAAGGTCATCGACCCTGTAAAGACGACATCATGATGAATTAATGAGAGTTGGAAAGGTAGCAGAAGTAGAGAGGAAGAAGCATACGAGAGATCATGATGAGAAGAATCTTGGCACAGTTCAGCCTCTAAACTCTGTACGGAAAAACAGAAATTAGAAAGAAAAGGAAAAACAGAGAAAGTGGAAAATTGTGATTAAATATACAAACCTCAAGTTCAGAGAGAAGAGAAGTCTGAAAGTGAGAAACCCTAGTTGAGGGGCCAACCATATTGGAAACGTAAATGGGTCCGCCCCTCGGAATTGGAACAGAGAGATCGCATTCTGCTGCCTCTGGAATTGAAGATTCCATTCAACTCAGAGAGAGAATTTTCAAAATCAATGGCAGAAACAGAGAGACGATGGTGAGTAGTCAGTGTGTGTGTAGCCGACCAAGCGCCCAGCAGGGTAACGCCGCGCACTCCACCACCCTCCGCCGCCTTCTTTTTTTTCATCAAGTATAAACTTTTAATAATTAAATAATTATTTTACCTGTTTTATTGAACAAGGTTATAAAAATCTTAAAATATTATTTATAAATAAACTAAAAATAATTGGATATAATATTTTCATGTAGAAATTTTAAATTAAATCAATATGAAAATAAATTTAAGAAATAAATATTGGAAGAAATAAAAAATATAAACAAATAATCAAAATAAGAAAAAGCTTGATAAAAAAAATTACCAGTTTTTAAGAATATTGGTATTAAAAAATGATATATGAAATTTATAATATGGAGAAAAAAAATATAAATTTCGTTAATTTGAAGTAGATATGTATATTTTTACTAAGAGTAATTATTATATTTTTAACATGATAAATATTTCCTTTTAAATATATTTATGTTGCAGTTTCTTTAAACTAATTTTATGTGCTAATTTAATGGTTTTATTATGTGCTGTTATAGCAAACTAATGTTTATACATATTATCTTTTTTACTAATATTCTAAAGGAAGTTATTAATAAATCAAAAGTATTTTTTTCAAAATATATTATTTAATATTATTAATTTATTTTGCTTATAATTTTTAATAAAATGTGTATATGAATTTATTAAATATTATTTTTAGATAATATTTAAAATACAAATAAAACCTGTATAAATGATTTGTTTAATGATTACATGCTTTGGGGTTTTTTTTTCCTATCTTATATTATAGGATAACTAAATACTTTTTATGAGTAATAAATATTAAATGTCACATTATTACTTAAATAACTTGTATCAAATTACCATTACACACGAAAAAAAACAAAAAATTAATATTCTTGGTTGAAGTAAGTTGGTTTATAATAAGTAATTTAATCTGAGTTGGAATATTTCAGTTAAAGATTGTTAGAAAATAAATTAATTTTAATTATTATTAAAGCATTATTTTTATCTCATAAACACTGATTCTTTAAGAATTATTTGAGAAGAAAAATTTTAGAGGAAAGAATTTATATTTTAAATAAATGTATTTAAAATTAATATTTTAAAAAATAAAAGATATAAATTAATATAATAATAAAAATTTAATGTATTTATTATCATAAATAAAATATAATTTTTTAAATTAAAAAATAAAAAATATGTCATCCTTTCTTTTAAAAAAAATAAATATACTTTCTGAGGTGTGAAGTTATGTTTTATTTTTTATTATGTATCACAATTTTATTTATTTTTTATTTATATATAAAACAGAATGCAAAAGTGAACTAAGGACGAGATGATTTTATTTTCATGGTGAAGGTATGTTTGTATTTGGTTTAATGAAGTTTGGGCTGCACTAGTTGATACGTAGACTAAGCATACATATTATATTCGTGAATGCAATTTCAAGTTAATCTTTATAATTTTTATTGTCTTATAAAAGTTTTGTAATTTAAATTAATTTTTTATTAAGAAAATTGTTAGAATAAAATTTAAAAATTTTGCCTCGGGCAAAATTTTATGGCCGTTACGAAAAAGGAATTCCTCAATGGGACCATTTCAAAACCTATAGTATTAATTAATGATAAATATCTTAAAGTGTTCTAATGGCTTTTTAAAAATAATTATTTATTAATTTAAAATCACAAAAACCATTAAATACATGGTTTTTTTATTCTTAAGTAATTAAAAATATTTACTAAGATATATTTAATACACCTTAAGCGTAGCAAGAGTATCATAAAATTGTAGGGCTATAATTGAATAGCAAATGGCCTGCGACCTTGGCATTGACGCACTTTGACACCATTGATCTTCTATGTTGTTCTTCCATCAACAGTGGAATTGGTACAAATTATCTACTTAACAGAGTTTCTTGGGTCACTTTCAACTAATAAGAAAGCGACGAGAGTGCCGGAATATTATTTATCTTTTAAGGGAATATTACACAGGAAGATTCCATCGGAGTCGATTACAAGGCCACCTTCTCCGTCATCTTCAATTCAATTCATCTCTACACCGTTGTTTGAGATCCAAGAGACAAAGCCACAAGGCTGAGGCAACTGATTTGACCGAGACAGAGGTTGTAATGATACTCTGTCTTCCAACTTCATTCACCTTGTTCTTTTCTTTAATCTCCTTCTCTCCAAACGTCCCTTTCAAACTACACAGTAAAATTTGTTGCCATTTTTGTTTCGGATATATTTTTAGATTCCTTATTTATATTTGATGCCCTATTAGTATCTGCAGCATAAATATTTTCCATGTTACCAGAATTTAAACATTTTGTATAAAATAAATTGGTTATAATACGAAAAAATTACCAATGCTGGAAAGGTTTTACATGGTATACTAATTAAGGAAAAAAAACAAAAAAATTAATAATTGTATATTATTAAATATTTAAAAATACTAAAATAGCACATTATCCATGTTAAAAGCTGGAAAATGAAATATTATTAAATTTGGTAATTATTAGTGACTCAGTGGCGTTGTACTGTATATAGAGAGAAGAGGTCCGGGAAGAAAGGGAGGGAAATTTTGTTGGATTTGGTAGATCTATGTGCATTGGAAACCTGGGTATTTTTTTCTCTCTGTATGTGTCTTCTCTGTATACTGTACCTCTTACTTTTCTTTCGTGTTTGAATATCTATTCCTCATATCTCAATCAACCCTGTGCTTTTCTTTCGATCTTTGACTTGCACTTTTTTCCCCCCTCTTTCCCCAACTTGGGTGCAAGCAAAATCACACTTAACGCATTTCTCTCTCAAACATGAAATTTTTTCGCTCATTCAACTATTGTGGGTCCACAACCCTAATTGCTACTGCTATGTTCTTTATTCCTTATTACACATTAAGATTGGGTCTTTTCTCTTCCCTTTCCAATTCCTCAGCCTGAGGTATTCATTAACAGGGTGAAATTTAGTCAACACTTATTGCCACTGTTTCCCAATTTGCCTACCTAGCATTAGTAACCTTGACCTACAATTGTGTAAATTTTCTCTATCTTTATGTTTATGTTTATGATGTGAATGCCTGATTCTTCCCAATTACTTGCAGTTAGGTTTGACATGCTAGTCTAAATTCCCACGTTACATTGCTACTGAGTTTAACGACACTTGTATCAGCATGTAGGTGTAGATTGTGGCGACACTAACAGCAGCAACAGCACAATGGATCCTGTCAATGGGGGGAACACTCTCGCCAACAACCCTAATATTGCTTCCAAGCAGCGTTTACGCTGGACGCATGAGCTACATGAACGCTTTGTTGATGCTGTGGCGCAACTTGGTGGCCCAGATCGTGAGTTTTTTCCCTTCCTAGTGCCCGCTAAATGGAAATGGTTTTCCCCTTGTTCCCCCACCCGAACATGACACATTGCTTCATCAAATGAAAATTGGGATGGCTACCTCGTAACTCCTTCGAATATCAAATGGGAATTTGAGTTTTCTTTTGTTTGAAATGCACGAGATAAGGAATTTGCGAATTCAATTGACAATCAGATTTCTAGTACTACTGTTGGTACAATGTTTTGAATTTCTGATAACCTTTTCCCAGGTGCCACACCTAAAGGTGTTCTCAGAGTTATGGGTGTGCAAGGCTTAACAATATACCATGTCAAAAGCCACTTACAGGTTTGGGACTGTTTACTTGATATCCACGATTGCCTTTCGTCTCTCTTTATTCTCTTTGCTTTTCTGTTGCATCCAGAAATATCGGCTAGCAAAATACCTACCCGACTCATCACCAGATGGTATGTCTACCTGATTTTGGTTGTTTTGAATGTTCATGTGTGTATTTGATTTGTTAGTTTGTTGTTCTTAGTCTGTCGAGTGGGTTCCTTTACTTTTTGTTCCCTGTTTGATTTTTTTGGTGACACTTTTTTACTCTGTTGATGATGGAAGGGAAAAAGGTCGACAAGAAAGAAACAGGGGATATGCTTTCCAATGTAGATGGTTCACCGTAAGTGTAGCTCCCTCTTTACTCTTGTGTTTTAGTACTTGTACAAGGTGGTGGAAACAAATGATATTTTACTTTTTGTTACTATTGCACAGTTAGCTGGGCTTTTGCATACTGTAGTTTAATTTAAGTCAGACTTAATTAACAGTGCAGAAATTTTTTTTAATCTAATTTTATATTTTACCTGCCTCAAAACTGTTCAAGTAGGGTAGAAAAAGTAACTTTTGCATCAAAAGGTCTTGATTTCTTCATGAAAGTCTGGGGTATAAATGACTGAAGTTATTAGTGGGGGGGTTGTCTGTCTCTTTGCAGTGGTATGCAGATTACTGAAGCATTAAAACTTCAAATGGAGGTGCAGAAGCGACTGCATGAGCAATTGGAGGTATGCTTCCTTGTTGAACTGTTTGAACCGCTATAATTAGAAGACTTTATTATTTGTTATGATTGATGTGCAAGATGAAGTGACAAGATGGATTTTTTTCCTGATTTATGTCACTCTAACGATTTGGTTTAATTATATAAATCATCAAAGTCTAAATGTTCATTTACACGGTGTATACTTATTGGTAACCTTGAATGAGTAATGTTTATACTGTTGGGAAATTTGATAATAATAACTTCTACTACAGTAGTCCCTATCCAATTGCCACAGAAGACAAGTGCCATACAAATCTCCTTGCATTTGGATGATACACATTACACGTGTGTACTTCTCAGGACATTAAACATAAACTTTAGAGTGTGCATCTCCTTGCAGGGCATCTAGTATAACATGTTACCGAGATGTGCATCTGAAGATGACTTTCTAGTAGTAAAGTACACTAGCATTTGAGCCAAAATATTTTTCAAAAAAATAGTAAACTATTTTTTATGCAAGGAAATTATTAAGTGGAAAAGGTGTTATCTTATTTTAACATTCACTTGCATGGATAATTCTCTTACAGCAAAAGGTAAAAAGCACACTAGTGATTATCATACATTAATCATCATCTAGACGATTTCAAAATTACTTGAAAATTGTATATTTTTGTCATAGACATGCAAATCTAGAGGAACGCTCGATATTTCTGGATGCGCATTCTAAAAAATTGCCATATAAAATATAGGTAGAGCACACGCACACACTTTCCTTTGAACTTTTTTTAATCAAGAAAAAGCAGATTGGACAGAATGTTAAATCGTGTTTAAGATGGCAAGCTTGTATTGTAAGTATGTTTTTGTTAAAATGTAATACAGGTGCAGAGACAGCTACAATTACGGATAGAAGCCCAGGGTAAATACTTGAAGAAGATTATTGAAGAGCAACAACGACTCAGTGGGGTTCTTTCAGAAGCACCTGACTCTAGCATTGCAGTTCCAGTTCCCCAAGATACTTGCCAAGAACCCGTTAATGAGACTGACCCAGCAACACCTGCCCCAACCTCTGAGTGCCCCCTTCTGGAAAAAGTTTCCAATGAGCGTGTCCCAGCTAAGAGTCTTTCAATTGACGAATCTTTTTCCTCCCATCATGAACCATTGACACCAGATTCTTGTTGCCACGTGGGTTCCCCTATTGACAGCCCTAAAGGGGAGAGATCTACAAAAAAGCAACGGGTAAACATGGAGGGAGCATATTCTGAACCAGAAATGGTACTTCCGCATCAGATACTTGAGGCAAGCATGTCATCTTATCAGCAACCAAATGCAATTTTCCTTGCCCAAGAGCAATTTGGCCCTACATTCGGTTTGTCCGCTAGAAGTGATAAGGAAATGGAGCAGGATGGTAGCAGAAATCTGTGATTTATTGTAACATGCAGCTTGTGTACTAGGACTGAATTTTTCATCCTTTTTTATTTATTGGATGTATGTACTCTATTGGATAGATTATGAAACGTGTTCATGGTATATTCCCCCTGGTGCACTAGGACTGATTTTTTTCATCCTTTTTTATTTATTGGGTTTATGTACTCTATTGGATAGATTATGGTTTAACCTGATCATGGTATATATTCTCCAGTTTGGTCAAGCATGCAATTAATTATTAGTAACGGTTTGGAGATTACTATTTGTATCACTCTTTTTGTTATGAATTACAAAATTAAATTTTTGAAAGTGCATTTAATATTTTTCAAAAACTAAATTTTAGTAGTGATGTATAAATTAACTTTCAAAAGGTACATTATCACTTCCAAAATTTAATTTTAAAAAGTGATTTGCCAATGATTTTTGAAATTTAATTTTCAGAAGGTAAAGACGTTTTTTAAATTAAATTTTTGGAAGTCACAGTAAAAAAGGTGGTTCAAAGAGCAATCTCATAACAGTTTTTAAGCAGGGCAGGCCCAGTCTTCCTGGTTTAACAGTTTGCTATCTCAGGCCGGCCAAACCTGAAAAAGGAACATGGCCGAGTTAGTTTTAGGCGTTTTTGTTTTTATCAAAATTAGTTTAAGATGTTTCCACTTTTTTACATGGAGAGGCCCTGGCTCAACAGACAAACAATTGTTTGCTTAGCACTATCTAATCTACACCAAGGATGGATATTTGCAATACCAGACGGACAATGGGGTGCGTCACATTCATAAATACAATCATAGCAGCGAAATGGCAGGCAAATAGAAATCAATATTTGGCAATTCCTATAGTTAAAAACCTAACTAGTTGTTGAATTTGAAGGAGTGCCTAGAAATAGTATTTATAAAATTAATGTATGTTGAAAAAACATTACAATTACAGAGGCGAGTCTAAGAGGACTTGTGCCTTCGATGGGTTGATCCCTTTAGAAGGCAAAGCCGCAGGCGTCTGCTAAGTGCCTCCAGCTTCTCAAACCTCTCACTCTTTGGCTTCTTTACAACGCTTTCACCCTTCTTTTTCTTCTTATTCTTCTTATGCTTCTTCTCATCTTCTTTGGCCTCTGCCGATTTTTCACTCTTGCTTCGCATTGGGGTTGCCAGCACCTTCACAGTATTCTGACATTATTCACAAATGAAGCATGACAACCAATTAATATCGATACACACACACAATTATGCATTATATGCATGTGATACCTTGTCACTTCCAAAATCATTTTCAATAAATGCCCGTTATCAGGAAAGATTACGCTTAGACAAATGGATGTACCTTAGAGAGGGTATCATCAGCCCTTAAATCTGCAGAAGATTCTCCATCACTGCCTCCTAAAGAAGAACACCTGCCCCAACTTTCTCTATTGGAGCTTGTATATGAGCAACAATCTTCAATCTGGCCATTTAGCTTATCCTATAAAATCATTGATGGCATATTTCAAGACAAGCAATGCTAAAATTATAAAATGTGGACAGTCTCCGCATTTCTCAGCTTCAACTCCAAACAGATGTCACCAAGTAATGACATGAGAAAACCAAGCTTACATAATGCGTTACAAGGACATAGACATTCTAAGGTAAAATACACAATCGCTTTATAATAATTACTACTATATCTTGATGGGTGTAGCTAAGTTTGCTTAGCCAATAAATGTTTACTAATGAAATAATTCACCCATTCATCCAAAACTTAAGACCGCCAGCAAAGATTTTGTCTGAAAAATCTGCTTTTTACTCAAGTTGCACTTCGGCAAACATTTTATTAAATTATAATACTTCAAACATTTTTTCATAATACAAGACATTTGGCATTAACCACTATTTGACCACTGTCAATCAATTGAGTGTATAATTGCCCTAGACTTAAATTGTTAAGAAATGCTTTTTTGCAACTTTTTCTAAAAAAACTATCATCATGAAATTTTGGTATAGTTATGTATATTGTAGTGCTAGCAAAGGTCACCTCCGTGGCCCAAGTTTTTTTCAAAAAAATAAGTGCTGACATAGCTAAAAGTACTGCATATTATGTAGTTTTAAAAATGCAATTACTCGGTTCCAGTAGAGAAACGTAGAGGTAAGAAAATCCCTGAACAAATTTCTTAATACCAGAGACAGTGCTTGATAAAATCACCTGCACATCTGAGGGCTCATCATGGCCAGTTTCATCATTACCATATGTAGTATCTTCTCTAAAAATGGACTCCTGCAACACAAGTCATGAATGAATTAAACATATACCTAGTTTTTGGAAGGAAGAAACACAGACAAGAGGTAAAGGCATCCTACTACATCAGTCACTGGTGCAACTTCCGAAAGAAGTTCGCTAACTGATTTTGTGGAAGAAATTGTTGGAAGCACAGAAGATGAACTAGCAGCATCAGTGGTTGCAGACTGCAGACTAGAGAGAATCTCATATAATAGGCTCTAGCATGAAAGCAAGAGCAAATTAGCTTCTGTTCTTTTATAACACATAATAAAGCTGAATCATATGACAATACAAATGTATAACCACTTTATAATTATTTATGGTAATATTTTCAAAAAGAGAAAAGACGGTGACCCATGAAAGAGACAATGAGAATGTTAATATGATCAGCACATCTTAAGCATGTGTTTCAAGCAAGTTAAGGCTGTGTGATTCTGTATCTTTTCTTATGTTTTTCCACTCTGTGGATCTGGAGTAAGGTGAAATCAAGGTTGGAAGGTGTTACCACCTAGTCTATTAGGATTAAATGAGGTTCATGATTATTATTTGCAGCTTGCTAATGTATTATTTCAGTAGTTCAACAGGCTGCACTAGTCGTAATTGGTTGGTATTTTGATTATATTGTGCAGTTCATGAATGAAGAAAGAACCAGATGAGCAGTAGCACTAGTCGTAAGCAATAAATATATTGAAGAAAACTTTGAAGTCAGCAGAAAATCAAGAATGGAATTCTAAATGCTAATTACCTCGTCTACACTAGAGCCAAGTTTCAAATCCCCCAAATCGTAATACTTCTCAAGTTTATGAGCTTTAGGAACATTAGGAGGGTGGAGCACATTGTAGAAGAAAATGGAAACTGAATCATAAAAGAATTGTGGCCGAGAGGAGTTGTGGTCACCATCAAATTTTATGACGTTTTTATCACCCTACAAAGTCACAAGTTAGATTTTTTGGCTATCAAAGGAAAAAGTGCAAATTGCTTCCAAAAAATTTCATTCTCAAAGATTTGGAATAAATTAATACTGCATAGGATTCAGAGATGAGATCAGAGTGATGAGGCTGAATGAATTTGTCGTCGCTTGCATGTCCAAATAAAACAGGAATGAATGTCTTCGGTGCAACCTGGGGGATTTAAAAGCATTAATTTAACATAGCCACAGAAAGGAAATAACTTGACAATTTGTTTAGCCAGAAAACAAAAGCTATCATGCTCAGATTTCATGGTGAAAATAAACGTGATTAATGAAGTTTACATAACTGCAGCAATAATTTTAATAATTTAAAAAAGTGGAACCTCAAAATATGCCTCAGTATTCTTCTCAATAAGAAAACAAAAGAGAAATTGCACAACTAATACATACCGGCAAACAGTTCAGATTCATAATATCAAACTTTGCCTTCTTCTCAATAACCCGCCGCATGTACTGTACAGCCATTTTAACCTAATTGAGATAAATCCAGCAAAATATCAGACTTGACAAACATACCAAAAAAAATCCATTACAAAGGGAAATACAGTAAAATCTAAATCTAAATCAATGCATAAATACACATCGAGTAAGAGAGTTAAAATCAATATATCTTATATCTTGGATCACCCCACCCTCACGTTTCAAAAACATAATTCAAAACTGCAAGCATAAGATGGGGGTTTCAGAATTTCAGTGTGCAATGGACCGTAAAAAATTCTTTGCAGCAGCTTCTAAGGGGGGCATTAGAAAAGTTATGTGGCAATGTAGTTTATGAAATTCTTTGTTGCATTTGGTTGAAGTAGAATGCTTGCACGTCTATTTGTTCACAAATTTGTCATGGGATAGGATTACATTTACGTATTTCTTTCATTCCTTTTTGAAGGAGTTCACTTTGTAATATGTAGCATTTAGTCATTATTGACACATCCAGTCACAACCCCCAATACAGGCAAAAAATTTTAAAAAGCCAAATACTTTTACCAATTTAAAAAGAACCATAATTACAAGAAACCTTAGATCCAAAATACAATCTTAGTTAAAACTCCAATCAAATGTCTGTATCAAATTTATAATGCTTGTTTCTCAGGTGGGTCAATCAAATCAATCAATAAATCTGAAGAGCCACGCCAAAAGTCTATCAAATTTTTCAGCCTTCCAAATGAAAATAGAGGTATATACCAAGTAAAATGGATGGAAAATGGTGTAAAAGCAAAGCTGAGTGCAGATGTCCTAGGCACTAGAAATTAGAACTTACCCTCACTACATATCACAACTTTTTGCAAGTACAATGAACAGAACATTTAGATGCAGTTATAACAATGCAATAGCTTTAAAGACTTTTGCAGTCTGAACAACTCAGACTGATGCTGCACCATTTTACTACATGCACTACAAACAGTTTTAACAACCTGGGACAAATATCATTCACAACAGGTTCATATCACTACATGACCATTTCAAAGGAACCATTTAGAGTTCCTCTTTTCTTTCTTAATTGAGCATTTACTACAAAGGGAGTTGGTATCCAGAGAGAGAGAGAGAGAGGGAGAACATACAGTGAACTTTGGAAGCCGAATTTTATAAACATCCACGAGCTCCATCATGAGATCATATAAGTTCGAAAAAGCACTATCCAACACCATTCCAGCAATAGAAGGGTCTTCCGCTCCATAAAGAAGGCTACATCACACCAAAATAAGCGTATTCAATTACACTAGAGATTCGTAAGTGTGGCTCATAAATACATAGATGCAGATTAAAGATGGAAAGGTGGGAATGTGGGATACTTCAACACTCAATGCCTTGCCATTAAAATGGGGTTAAAAATATGTTTTAAAAAGGTGAAGAAATTCATTTGCTTTCCTCTTTTTTCCAATTTCTCATACAATTTTAAAAAAATACTAACCATAGGACAGCATCAACAGTTTTGTCCACTCACACACATACAAGTAGAGAAGGGTGCAGTAAAACTTATGTCACAAAATTATATTAGAACAGTACATCAAAATCATCCATTGAGGACCTTTCTTTTTTCTGCAGGGGTACGCATAGCAAATACAAAGCGCCAAAAGCATAAAAAACCCTCATAAAAATCAATATCAAACAAGTTAATTGGGAGATTTAATACCTAGTAACTGCACCCATTGATCGTCCCCAGAGACCTATACGGGAAATTTGTTTGTTGCTTCTCAAATATGACACCACCATCTTGAGATCATCTTTCTACCACATGAAGAAAGGGAAACATGTTAGTAGTTTCATAAAAGATTTGGAAATGTAGAAACCTAAGTTAATAGCCAGAAATTAATAAAAAAATAAGAAATATGCATAAAGATTAAAGAGGCAACTTACTTCATGCCAACCAAGGCTAACATAGTTCCCATCAGATAAGCCTGACCCCGAGAAGTCAAGGGTAAAAACAGTAATATTTGAAGGAAGAAGAATGACAGCAGCTTCATTGGCATCTGCCCTACAACCACTGTATCATTGTACATATGCACACATGTCAGGAGGGAGAAGAATAGAATAGCTATGTCATGATAAAAAAAAATACATGTTCAAAAAGAATTATAATGATCATACTGATACATATAGAATCTTTTGTTAGCATCAAGAGCCATAAAATAACATATACCTGTTTCCATGACAGTATATAACACAAGGAAGAGAAGTATCCTCAGGGAAAGGAGCAGGGAGATAATGACTACACTTCAAGGTATAGCCCCTGGCATTCTTGAGCTGCACAGTTGGAAAACAGATGAACAGTAAGCAAAAACAGGAATCTATATACAGACAACAATAAGTGCAAGCAACCATCAAACAAATAATGTCCATACTTGCCTCCAAATCCTGCCTCTGGTATGTTCTGCCTGCAAGAGTGAATTCCTTTTCCCACAGGTACTGATCTGGATTATATTCTGCCCTGTATATGTGACAAGGTAGATATAATGAAAATGTAACTAAATTCGCTGGAAAAAGTTAATCACAAGTTGAGCAATGGATGCACAGGCATTGCACAGTTATTTACGTAGGTTGAATGGAGGATAGAAAAGAAAAAATAAACAAAAAACAAGAGTTATCAAAATCTATAGGGAAGACTGTCTAACATAGTTCTTGGAAGATGATTGACGCACATTCAGTTTGAACACAGCATTTATACATTAGAAATAAAATTCCTATCATATGAAAAGGAACAAAAATCTACTAGTTCAAACTTCAGAGTACACTCCAGTCCAGTCGTCGCTGAGATGTTAACAAGGAAAGAACCAACATATTAAACAAGCAAGGACAAATTCAGTGCATATCACGTGCTTTCCCCTTAATTCTCAACCACTAAGATGACATGGCCACAAAACTTTGATATGATCTTACTATATGTAAAAACAGGTAAGGAAATTAAAGACGAGGATATAATTGAAAGTATAAAAAACAAATACAGGAGCACAAGTAATTACTAGGGTGGGGAACATCAACAAACTAGGAATCCCCTTGTGAGAAAAAATAACCCCAAAGAATCTGTAACAGTTAACATTCTCTGTCCCAGGATCCATCTCTACAGTACCTTCTTACTTGAATAGTGTCATGCCACCAACCAATAAAGCAAAAATTAATACCTGGGAGGCCTAATAACGAAATTGATGAATTGCTCAATCATCTTGCTTCTACATGTAGCTCGCAGCAACGCAGCCTCATGAGCTTTACAAGTATAAAGCAGTCTATGACAAGTTCAAAGTCAAACAACCACCACCATCTTGATGACTGAAAGCTCCTTATAAACTGCAACTTAATCTCAAATCTCCCAAATAAAATTTTACTGGTGAATTTGAATGTCAAACAAACATTCACACAAACTCAGCTACTGGTACTCAATTCCTGTGAGAAACAACAACAACTGGCTGCTAAGAAAGAGACTTTTGCATTGAACAACAAAAAAAGCGTGAAACCCAGAGTCAGTAGTAGTAAAAAGTTTCAAAATTTACAAGGTAACTGGTCCCAACTAATATGAGTTGAAGAGAGAGAATAAGAAGGAAAAAAAAAAAAAAAAACCCATACACTAAAAGCACTTCCAGATCCAAATGCTCTCAAAAGTTTGCTTCTCCGAAAACCAGGAGGAAAAAAGAAAGACACATTAAGCAGAAATTTAGGTTCACTCAAAAGAAAAAGTTTTGTTTAGGCTTCTTCTACTTGTACCATGATTGCAGCGAGCAAATAACTTTATCCATCCTTTAAAAAAATTGAAACATGGGTGACTAGGTAGACGTCAAATTAACAAAAGGGTGACAAGAAAAGGGGATTAAAAATGGTAAAGGTTCCTAAAGCGAAAATGTGGGGTAAGATGAGGGACACGAATTCCAAGTGAAATGAGATCCCACATCCAAATTGCCACATTGAGGCCTATGGATGCACTTCCCCTCCTATTTGATTTTACGCAACAAAAAAAACGAAGAAGATGAAAAGAGAAGGTAAAAAAGCAAACAACTTTACCTGAACGGAAAAGTGGGTGTGAGTCACCACCCAAAAGCAAATGCTTGTCTGAAGAAGAAGAAGAAAAATAAAAAGAGATGTGAAGAGTAAGCGAAACAGATGAATGAATTGAAAGAACCTTCTTCTTCTTCTTCTTTGTGTTGTGATTCTGAGTATAGGAAATTAATTTAATGGATGAATGAAGGAAGAAAGAAAGAAAGAGTAGGAAGTAGGAACAGCCAGCTGGCTTTCTTTCTGTTGAGTAGTGTTTATTGTTCATCAAAACGTACTTCTTATTCTTATTTTTTTTATCGAAAAAACGTACCTCTTATTTAATTGCTTCAATGTTAATTGTTCATCAAAATTCAAAATAGTATCTTATATATTAAGATTTTTTTAAATGTGTCAAGAGATATGTAATAAAAAATTGTTTATATATAGTAAATTATAAGACATGGACAGATTTAATGTTTTTAAAATATTATTTTTTAAATTTTTAATATAAAATTGTTATTTATTAATATTTTTATTATGAGGTTTTCAAAATTATTATGACTTAAAATATATAATAAAAATGCGATAATAAATATTTATCTACAAGACTTTGATTTTCCATTAAAACAATTAACCAATGTTTTATAAAGATAATTTTTTATGATAATTTGTAAATTTAGATGGTATTTTATCCTCTCTTACAATTATTATCATTAATTTTATATTAAATCTATAAATAAATAGTGATATATAATAATTACCATTTATAAAACAAGATAATTTAAAAAAAATACGTTTAAAATGTAGTTTCTATTATATATTAAAAACATAGTAATTTGTTTAATAAATTTGAACTAGTTTAAAATATTTCATAGAGTGTAAATTTAATATTTTATAAAATAATAGAAATAATATTATTTTGTAACTAATTTTTAATATACTACATTTTTTTGTCTAATTTTAAAATATATTTAGCTAATTCTGTCTATATATTTAACATAACTATAATGACCAGAATTCAAATTTGAAATCACAATTTTCAACCTCTTATTAATTATTTTACATGTTCAACAGTAAATTATTATTTTTCTTTAACTGTGCTTTGTTTTCACTTATTAAATGCTTTACATAATTACTGATAATAATAGAAGTCGTATTAATAATAATTTTGATATAAATAAAATTAAATGCATTTCTTGATTTGTGTGAGGAACAAAATGTATTGTATAAAAGATGTTAAATAAAAGCAAATATATTTAGAATTTTTTTAATATAAAAAATGTTTAATATTTTCTTCGATTAATAAAAACAAACTTCAGTGCGAATAAACTGTAGGAGTATGAAAATTTTTTAATCTGATATATCTCTTCCGTTTCAAATTACAGCATAGCAATGTTGTATCTTACTACAAATTTTTCTTATTCATTCTTTTATTACTTAGTAAAAAACTAAATATAAAAGAAAATGCATATAGTATATTGGTATCATAAAAAAAATCAGTGTATTTTTTGTCTAATAAATAACAATATTAATAAACAAAATATTGCAAAAAATACAAATACAAATAAAAATAGTCTTCAAATTATTTGTCATTCAATATAATACAAATATTTTAAGGAAAATGTTACCTCATTAAAAGATTGAAGTATGATTATAAATTAATTAAGTGTTTCAATAAAATGCAATAAATAAGAATGTAGTTGAAATTTTTGTAATATTAAAATTTTAAGTAACAAAAAGTTAGAAATAAGATGAGGTTTCTAACTTGACAGTGTTTAAAAATCTTAATAAATGAGATTAAAAATGAAACATATTAAAAGCAAAACAATTACATCAATGTAGCTGGTTAAATATTTGTATGTGGCTAGATCCGTATTATAATCCCAGGAACGTGCATTGAATCATTGGACAATTATTATGCATAGTAACATTACTTAATTAGTTTAACTGTGTATTTTGATTTCATGAAAACAATAGAAAAAAAATTGTATATTTGGACTAAACATTGATGAGTGTTTGAATTCTCCAAAAAGTTATGCTTCATCGGCACATCAAATAACTCTTAAATGCCAGTCAATATCAGAATTCAACAATCCGTTTTCTATTCATATCAATATTTAATTTCCACATTGTCGTTTAAAATAGAAGTTCTGTGTCTTTGATTCTATCAACGAACCTAAATGAACTTCCCACTAGCTTGATTTTGCACAAATCTTTAAATTAGTCTTACGATTGTAATAATTTATGTACCTTTTTCAATGTAATGTTTGAAGAAAATTTTAAATATATAAAAAACAGAGTTTGCTTTATATGCTTTATTTTTTAATGTTTATAATAAGCCCTGAGCTACCAAAATACATGGAAATAATTGTTTTAAAATTATCTAGTGGAATATAAGAAAGTGCCCATGAAACACAACTTTTTTTTCAAATTGCAAACTTTTTTTTTAGACTAAATTAATAACTAGACAATTTTTTTTAACTAATATATATATATGGAAAATTATCTTATCACGTTAGTGTAAATTAAAAAATAATTACATTTGATTTGAATTTTTTATTTAATTTATATTTAATGATAAGTAAAGTAATAAATTATAATTCGTTAGATGTAAATTAAATAAAAAATTTAAATTGAATATAAAAATTTTAAGATTTATATTATATATATATATATATTGGCTTTTATTTTATTTTATGTATATTTATATTGTTAGTGTATTAGCATATTTTTATAAAATAAAGTAAAAATAAATAAATATATTTTATATATCTAAAAGTGTGTAGTTATATAAGAGCTGTATTTTTTAAAAAATAGTCTAACTTTAAATATACTGATATCTTTGGATGAAGTAAAAAATAAGTAAATAATAAAAATAAATGAGATAAAAAATATGCGTTGTTTCGATACTTAAAAATAAGAGAGAGAAAAATAATAAATAAACTTATTTTACTTAGTTGAGTGAATAAATAATAATTTACATATAAAACATTTTTATAATGATAATAAAAATATTATTTTAACCACGCATTTAAAAAGTTAATACAGTGTTTTTAATTATTTTTAGATATTTTGATATTAAATTTAAATTTTTAATAAAATATACTAATTAAAATTATCACGTCATTCTCTCCCTTGCAACTTTTCTCTTAGAATGTAACAAAATTTTAACATTGAGGAGGAGTGGTTTTATTTTGGAAGGACTCACTTAATTTTTGTCTTTCCTTTTATAAAATGATAAACAATCCAAATAATGAAAAAATAATATATTTTTTTTTACAAATGTATCATCTTTTCAATGAATCCAAATAACAATACACAGTTTAATACAGTATTTCTTTCACTTAACATATTTTTTTATTACACTATGAACATCTTATATTTTTATCCTACTTACAAAGATGCTAAACCCTTCCAAAATCATACATTTGTTAATCTTACAAGTAAGGGACAATACTTTGTAATTTTATAGTCATCATTGATAATTAATATGGTATATATTACATATGTTTTTATTTTGGAATGATAAAAAACTGACACTGTATTTGATATTATATCTAACAAATAACATTTAAACAAAAAAACATTAATCAACTGGTTCTAATTAACTTTAAAATAATCACCCAACAGCTATATTAGCTTAATTCGCGTTTTGAACTTCCAACATATTACAATAAATTAAAAAAAATATTCATGGACATAATAAATGTATTTGTTTGTAAAGAAAACAAGAGAATTCTTCGTATATGAGAAGTTGCACAGTTATTTAGGTTTGGTTTATTCAAAAAATTAAATAGAGAAAATTAAATACTTTTACTTTTTATTATTCTTAGTTTAATCAATAATACAATAAATATATCGCAAGTTTTTTTTTAATTTATCTCATTTTAATAAGTCTACCAGTATAATTTATCAAACTTTTAAAATTATTCTAACAAAATTTAAGTCATGAGTTATTATTTTAAAAAATTATCAAAAGAATGTTCAAATAAATAAATATTCAAATGCACCATAAGTAATATAAAGTTAAAGTATTTTTAAATAACTTAAAACTTTCACATGACCTAAACTTACAGAAAAATATCAAATCTATTCATCCAAATTTTTTTCCCCCCTTTACTACTATGTATTTGTGTGCCATTTTTTTCTTCTTCAAATTTTATGTTAGATTATGTAAGGTAATATATTCTTTTTATGAAATCTTATCTATTTTTATTAAGCATAATTTGATATAAAAATTTATTTATTATTAACAATAAAAGGTATATTTTATAAACATATTAAATTTATGATTGTGAAAAAGTTATGCGTAATACTTTTATTTTAGTTTAATGATATGTATACAATATAAAAATTTCATTAATATATAATTTTAAGTGCATTTATTATAAATTTCCATCTCTTAAAATTTGCAATAAAAATAATATCTACAATTTTTTTTATGTGGTATTTCTCATTTTATATATAAAACATGGATTTTTTAATTATATTAATTTTAAAAATTATCTCAAAAATATTTTGAAGGGTAAGAGAATGTTTGTTTGTTTTTTCTCTTTTTAAAATAAAAATTTAGTTTTTAAAAGGATAAAAATATTTTTAAAAATAAAAACAAATACACTCTTAATCATTTTTCTCATTATACTGCTGTAATTTATGCTATACTACCTATTTTAATTTTCAAAATATTTTTTTAAAAATATCTTTCACGGAGATAATATTTAAACTTAAAGAATTGTTTGGGAAAAAATTATAGAAGAAAGAGGAGGAAAATGAAAAAAAAGATAAATTTTATATTTTAAATAAATATGTTTAAAATATTATCAATTTAAAATACAACATATAAATTATTATATTGATATAAACTTTATATATTAATTATACATTTATTATCAATAATATAAATATTTTAATTTTAATTTTAAAATAATTATTTTTTTATCTTTCAAAACCTACTCCCAAAGACTATATGCATTAAATTAAAACAACTTGGTCAATTAATACATATATTTGGTGGTTACTTTTTTACAATTTAATTATTTGTATGTATTTTTTAATAGAATAAAATATTTGGTATTAATAATTAAATATTAATTTTTTAAATTGACATTTTCAAAACTATTTAATACATGTATTTTTTTCTTTAAAACAATTATGTTATTTAAAGTAATAAATTCGTTTTTTACCAGTTAAATATCAATTAATTGCTCTTTTGATATAATAATGTATTTAATTGCACATATAAAATATTCATTCGATGACCCAGGTCTTTAATGCGTATATTTATTAGATACTTTTCGTTTATTTTTTTTAAATATTTCCAAACAATTAAATGTCCTATCTTCTGCTTAAATCATCCAACTTTTTTTTTTTATATATTCGTATTAAAATATTTAATGAATTTTTTGTATTTCCAAAATTAAAAAATAACCTTCCTTTTATGATTTTTTTATTCCATTTGTCATGGTTGGTAAATAATAATATTTTTTAAAATTAATTACAAACAATTAAATGACTTATCTTCTGCTTAAATCATCGAACTTTTTTTATATTTTATTTTTAAAATATTTAATGAATTTTTATTTCCAAAATAGAAATAAGCTTCTTTTCATGGTTTATTTTTTTTCAAATTGTTGGTAAATAATAATATTTTTAAAACAATTAAATACATTATCTTCTGCTTTTTTCATCGATTTTTGTTTATATTTTCTTTTAAAAATATTTAATGAATTTTTTAGTCCAAAATATAAATAACCTTCCTTTTATGATTCTTTTGACTCCATTTATTGTTGTTGGTAAATAATAATAATGATAGTAAGAAATGAATTAATAAATTTACACATAGAGAGGAAAAAAGGGAAAGGTGACAGGAAACGCGCAGTGCCAGTTAGGGAGGCATTGGGGGCTATATATGGGAGCAAAAGTGCTTCAATTGTAGACGCAGATCAGATCCTTCTCTAAGATCTAACTGCCCAAGGACCTCCTTTCCTTTCTTCTCAGATTCAACAATATTTAGGTCTCTCTATTCCCCCTTTTTATTTTAAATTCTTTTTCCTAATTCAATTTCCGTTTCCCCATCTTCAATTTCGTTTCTGGGTTCTACCCTTTTATTTTTATTACTATTTTTCGATTAGGTTTCTGGGTTTTTGAGGTTTGATTATGCCACCGTCTGACGAGATGTGAATTCAACTGTTTTGAATTTGTAATCTCAAAAGAAAATTTTCGATTAATTGGCTGCTTGGAATGACTGGAATTGCCCGAATTGATGCATTACTTCTCTCGTTTTCGATTGCTCGTTTGTCGGTTGGCTTTAGAATCTTTATGGGTATTTATTTTTTGGTTGGAAGTATATTGTTTTAGGGTTAGGTTACTGCTATTTTCTTGATACCGTTTTGAGGGGGATTCGATGTTATTTACTATAAATTAAAACTTTAGTATGTGCAGTTTCAAGGTTATATGTCGCATTTGATGTTTATTTTCTTGCGAAGTGAAATTGATGTGTTTGTTACTCTTTTTACCTCACACCCTTTATGGAGGCAGGTATCAATAGCATAGGGAAACATGGCTCAACAACAGGGGGACGACATGGAGTATGTTGCTGATGATAATGAAATGGCGGAAGTGGAAGATGATATGTATTTTCGTGGAAGAGTGTTTGGTGATTCAGAATCAGAATCAGAATCAGATGATGAATATGAGTCTTTGGTTTGTTTCTATTTCTTGTTGTTAGCAAACAAGTTTCTTTTCATTTGTTTCGGAGTGTTGGTCCTATCCTTTTGCAATGTAATTTTTTATAGCTATTTTTGTATTTTATTTATCGCATTTCTCATTTCTGTTGTTCATGCCATCTGGTTTTGTCTCTGCACACCTTGGATTTGATACATTTACACTTACGCGACAAATATCTAATAAAATGTTGCTTTGACATAGTCTTTTCCTGATTGCACTTCTTGGGCCGTGGGGTTTGTATTCTCTGTTGCAGGAAAATCGGATAACTGATACCACTGCTGCAGAAGCTAGGAAAGGAAAGGATATCCAAGGTATACCCTGGGATAGACTGAGCATTAGTCGTGAGAAGTATAGACAAACTAGACTAGAGCAGTACAAGAATTATGAAAATATACCTCAGTCAGGCGAATTGTCAGAGAAGGTAGAATACGTTTCACTTTGAGTCCTGTATCATTTGACTAATGTTTCTGGGGGAGTTTTTCATCTTCTAATCTATTGTCTACAGGAATGCAAACCAACATATAAAGGAGGAATGTATTATGACTTCTGGCAAAACACTAGATCTGTGAAATCAACGATACTTCATTTCCAAGTACGTAAATAGAGTAATTAATTACATTTAATCATTTCAGATGATGTGATAAGATTTGGTTAGCCTCAGACTCTGTTGCCTTTGGTGGAAACATGTTTGCTTGCATGTTCACCTTGTAGAATTAAATTATCTTACCACTCCCTTCTAGAAATTCACTGTGTGCCATGGTCAATGGTTAAGTAACATTAATGTGAAACCTCTAATCTGTCATTTGCAGTTGAGGAACTTGGTTTGGTCAACATCAAAGCATGATGCATATCTTGTTTCAAATTACTCAATTATACACTGGTCTTCTTTAAATTCCAAGAGATCAGAAATATTGAATGTATCTGGGCATGTAGCTCCATGTGAGGTAAGTATTTTCGCACTGCCTTGTTATCTAAAGGATCACTTATAAAAGACATCTAAGCTTTTAGATGCCTGTTGTTAATAGAAACATCCTGGAAGCCTTTTGGAAGGATTTACTCAGACACAGATTAGTACACTGGCCGTAAGGGATAAGTTGTTGATTGCTGGGGGTTTTCAAGGAGAACTTATTTGCAAGGTACTTCTGTTGTTGTATGGATTGTGCTTTTCATTTTTTATCAATATTCTATTTCTTGCTTTAGATGCTCAAATTAGTTTATGGATTTGTACCCATTATATATCTTAGCTGTTTTCATTGGTTTTTAAATGGTATAAGACATTATTCTTCTGCCTCTGTATGGATATGATTAATTGAACAGCTATTGATTAACCAAAATGAGAAGTCATTCTGAATTATGAGAACTTTGTTTATCTAATTGATATAATTGGTAGTTTTTACCTGATTAAATGACATGTACATCTTGTCATGCAGTATATAGATCGACCTGGGGTTAGTTTTTGTTCTAGAACTACTTATGATGACAATGCAATCACCAATGCTGTTGAGATTTATGAGCATCCAAGGTCTGTCTTCTCTGCTTTCCATTTTTTTGTTCTTTTCTTTTCTTTTCTCTATGTATTTAGGTCTTTAGTGATTCATATGGTATTAGCATTAGCAATTACTGCTTACAACCCTCAAGTATGGTGGCATGTTAACAATTAATTAATGTACCAGTGGGGCTGTTCATTTCATGGCTTCAAATAATGATTGCGGAGTTAGAGACTTTGACATGGAGAGATTTCAACTTTCCAAGCACTTCTTCTTCTCCTGGCCAGTAAATGTAAGTAACTTCTTGGTGTGAATTTTTAACTTTGTAAAAATCCTTGTGTTATTTCCCTTTTTTTTTTAATTATTATTGAAACTAGTGTAGTATGCTTGTCACAATCTGCCTTTTATCAACTTATCAATTGTGGTGGGAGACACCAAAGGGAAGTTTTACTTGATAATGTTGTTCCGTTTTCGCACTACATTTAAGTAACTTAAAACAAAATAGAAGAAATGATTTGAGTTTGTTCCCTTTTCTATCTGCAGCATACTTCATTGAGCCCAGATGGTAAACTCCTTGTGATTGTCGGAGACAGCCCAGAAGGGATGCTAGTGGATTCTCAAACTGGAAAGGTGGTGTTTTCTCTTTGTTTTGTGTCACATATTCCTTTTATGTAGTGTGGGGGTGAATTATGGGAAGCTAATTTGAATTTTGGTTCCTTATAGACTGTCATGCCTTTATGTGGACACTGGGATTACTCATTTGCATCTGCATGGCATCCTGATGGTCGCATTTTTGCAACTGGAAATCAAGATAAAACATGCCGTGTTTGGGATGTGAGGAACTTGTCGAAGTCCCTTGCTGTGCTTAAGGGGAACCTTGGAGCGATACGTTCAATCCGATTCACATCTGATGGGCAATTCATGGCAATGGCTGAGCCAGCTGACTTTGTGCATGTTTATGATGCAAAGCATGGATTTGAGAAGGAGCAGGAGATCGATTTTTTTGGAGAGATCTCTGGTGTGTCTTTTAGCCCTGACACTGAATCCCTTTTCATTGGTGTCTGGGATCGCACCTATGGAAGCCTTCTTCAGTACAATCGACGGAGAAGTTACATGTATCTCGACTCCTTGTAAATCTGTAACCGCTCATACCTTGTAAGTACCTACGGTTTATCTAGGAATTTGAAAACTGGCACCACCTGACCAAAAAAGGATGAAAAATGACCGGTGGCTTGCCTCATCATACAATGTAGGGACAATATGGCTTCAGGACGTTACAGTTTGTACTCCGATGTGTTAAATAACATTGATTGCCAATCTTTCGAACCTTTTCTTTTATTGATGGAAGAATGTGTTCTAAATTTTTATGGCGTGATCTACCGTTTTTGGTTGGTCACATACTCACTTCTACCTTTCGGTGACATTTGTGGTACACATTTCCACCGCTCCCTCTATGGGTGTTGTGCATGCCTCGAAGAAGCAAGCTTGTTACACAATACCATGAATGAGTTACTTCACGGAGTGAGTGAGGTTTCAAATCCTTATATTAATTGATTCCTACATTCTATGACCGTGATCCCAAGCATTGTTGTCACTTATCAGTATAGCATGAATAGCCATACGATTCAGTACGATTCGGAGTGGCAATGATACGAATCGTGCAGTGTATCGCTTTTGTTCCTGAATCGCACCATGAATGGCGCTATCGTATCTGAATGGGACGAATTACACCACAAATTGTAGTTTTGTGGCTGAATCGTTGATTCTATCCAAATTGGGTCATGCCCTGTGAAGAAGGCCTTGGGAGATGGATGACCCGATTCTTAAAAGCTGTTGAAAACAGAGGGAATTAGTTGTTTCATCTTTGTAACGAATGTTGGACTTCTAAAATGTCAGTCTAAGATTTTAATGTTAATTTTTATTACGTAGATTATTGAGGTAAAATTTTAATATTGTTTAGAGAATAAAACTGGTATAATATTATACCCAAGTATTTCTCTCCCATCTGACCCAGCATGATCCAAATGTGATACTGGATAAAAAGAAGCCCTAACTAATTTTTCTTTGCCTCCGACAATACAATTGGTGTAGTTCAGTTCTACTGATACCTAAATGCTAATATATCTGTTTTTGTTGTTAAAATACTCCTCATAATTTTATGTTCTTTAGTTATTCAGCATGATGTTATGTTTTTATTTATTTATTAGCTATTTAAGCTAATTTTTATTAGTGATCATAAATCTTGCGATTCAAAATGATGTTTGATTTACAATTTGAGGGGGCCTTTGAATTCACAATTTGAGTCCGAATTGAATAACCTTGAATCTAGAGAATTATATTGAGTAAGGGAGGGGAGGGGTAAGGTGATAATGACACTTTCTACTGTTGGATCGTCTACTTAATTTTATTGCCAACCTTCAAAATAAATTCCATTGGCTGTCTAAGAGTTTGCAAAATGTGTTTGCGGTGGAGGTTCGTGTTCTGCTGCTTTCTAACTGTAGTAGTGGAGGAAACAATATTATAATTGAATTCCATACGCATGAATTTGCTTAAGACATGATGAGCTTTCTTTGTTAACAACTTCAATAGTCAAGCACAATATGGATCACATGCATATGTCGACTGTCTATGCATAGAAATGGAAGTATAATTTATTAGAACTTATTTCCATGTGTCGACTGTCTATGCATTTTTTTACATTAAAAACAATAATATTTAGTGAAAAATAATTTTTTTCCAAACAGTTGAATACTAATTCCTTTAAACAATCGTTTGTTTTTCTTAACAAGGTTTTTTCCTCTGTACCTTAACAAAGGCCAAATAAGCATACGCATACACAAACTTCTGTATTTTTCTTAGTATTTAATTTTGTAAAACGTCATTCCGTTTAACCATTTTAGTGTAAAAAGACATCAAAAGATATTTCAAAACAACTAAAACAAATGTTATTTTCCAAAATTGAAGAATTAAGTTCTGGTCTCTAAAATCTCAAAATTTAACTTAAAACTTTTTTCGCACAACTGTACCTTGATTTTTATTGTTTAAAATATTTTCAAACTTGGATGAATTTATTGCCTAATTGAAACATTATACTATTTTACTATTTCTCTCATTTGATATTTTTACCGACTCCAAAGAACAGAAAGCGCGAATATTTTATATGAAGATAAAGTGGTGGGTAATTTGTTGTAGGTGACAAGCTCTTGCCTAATCTTCTAAAACACGTATGGTTAGATGAAGTTTATAATATAATCCCCCAGCTTCGTGACAGAGGCATACGGTCATCAACTTGCATAGAATAGAATACTAATGGGGCGGACAAGATGTTTTTTCTTCCAACCTCACGGGCCAAACTACCTGTCTACTTAAACTTGACGTAAGATTATGAATTCTGTACGTTTGAAACTTGGAATGATCCTACTGTTATGGCAAGTCCTCCAAGCTGTTCATAATTTGCATGAATCGAGGAGTGTACAAAACGGAAACTTCAGATAGCATTGAGCATTTTGTTCTGAAATGTCATGACGAATAATGGTCATGGTCATGAATGTCCAATCCCACATTTCCAGAAGTCAGAAGCTTAGCTGTTAACACCAAGAAGAGCAGGTTGGGGTAATATGATGTCAAAATTCATTCATAAAGTTCAAGCGAGTATAATACATCAATATCGTATATGAAAAGTTATGTAGAAACACAACTCATAAATATTTCATGAAAAAAATGGAATGTTACAAAGGAGGTAATTGTAACGAAATAATAAGTATACGTGCAATATTTTAGAGGTTTGTTACTCTTCAAATGCACCCCACAGACTTGATTCAAAAGCATTAAAAACAAAATAATAACCAAATATGCTGCTTCATGTTCTTTAACAAGAACGAAGATTTGAGCTTGTAAGCATTTTTACAAAATCGGGTATTTCATAGGTTAGAATGTAAGAAGACATGAAGTTTGGCAAGTTAGATGGAGCCGTAAGGTGCAGTTGGATAACTGCTTTGTTAAACACTTGTTCAATCAACTCCTTTAAAACGATAACTTATATCATAAATTTAACAATGAAATCTATTGAGTTAAGCTAAAAACTACTTTTTATACACTATATCAAAATAAGCTTATTGAAATAAGCTGAAAATAGTTTATGAAAGTCATAAATTATTTTTCATAAGCTGTTCATAAGTTTTTCAAACATGCCCATAATAAATCAGTCGAGTGGGCAATATATAAACGAGTAAGGCCGTAACAAATTTAAAAATGCAAATCAAGTCAGGTATAATCAATACCAATTCTTAATCTTTAGTCAGAATTTGACACATAATGTTGATTAGAAATTAATGCCAAGTCAAACTTACCTTCATCTTCCTCATCTCCATTTTGACTAGTAAAGAATGGTGTGAGGTAGTTTCTATCTAATGCTGTAAAAGATGCAGCACTATAACAGAAAAGCAAAGAAAAATTAGAAGCAGAACTATCTTTAAGCAAAAACAGATTTTAGCTCATTCTCAGTTTCAGAGCACAGAGATACCTCCTATGGAATTCTTGAAGCTTCGTCTTGATTTTGTTCCTTGATGACGTATCTTCGTCGTTAGGAGAACTATAACCATTGTTTTCATCAAATATCTTGTGGAAGAAAATAACGATGTTAGTTGAAAGAAAATAGATTGAAAAATGTACAGTAGATTTGTTACGATAGTCGTCTCATTTGCTAGGATAAAATGCACAGTACAGATTCAAATGTTTAATTTAGATGTTAACATACAATTCCACAATAAAGTTCATAAATAATATAGTTTCTTTGAAGTCAAAATCATATTAGGAACTTACATATGTCCTATCAAACACTTACTACTTGGTTGGTCATGCAGAAGTTCTTTTTAGTCCAGCATCATGGTCAGCTACTACTTCTTAGCGTTCAACTTTATTTTTTCTAATGGAATGGTTCATAACTTTAATTTTAGATGCAATTCAAAAATATAATCACCAGTCAAATTACATGCTTCGGCTTCTTTCAGCAAGAAATATAGCTGAGTTAGTATCTCTCTCTCACAAACACATTTTTTTAATCATTTATTTCTACCAGTTTTGAGAAAGCTTTTGAAAAAAAAAATAATTACTTCCCCAAAAAAATCCATCCCAAACATGCAAAAAGTAATTCAATATTAACTAGTCCCGACCACATATCAGTCAAGTAGAAGTTAGCTAACCCACTATATTCCACAAGGAAAAACCTCGGCAATACCATGGAAACAAGATGAGAAGATGCTTCTACTATTTATGAAGGCAAAAGAACCTCATGTAGCAAAACTTACCGTTCTGGTACTAACAGAAGTCAAAGGACTCTCATTAATATGAATGTCACTACCTACAACTTCTAAAGCTTCAAGCATGGTGCCTGTTGAACCACCAATCAGTAATACCTGAAATAAAATAAATAAAATTTAATGCTGAGTAACTAGCCACGATGGTGAATGTGAAAAAATGGGGAAAAGAATTGGTTGTTGCTAGTAACTTAAAGCAGAAACAAAAATAAATAGGAGGGTAAAACATAGGCGCAATGCTTTAGATGTTTGCAATCAGGTTGTCCAATTCACAGCAATGCTTATACATTTTTTGACAGCACATCATTTAGTATATTCTCCATTTGAAAAATTCAAATCTCTCTGTCTCTCTCAGATTCTCCAATGGCATGCTTATATTTACATATCAGTAAATTTTCTAAAAATTGGACTCAGATCTTGTGTATTTTTTGTCAAGATTCATCCAAGAGGTCAAGAATATGCTATTTAACACTTTCTTTTATTTATTTTTAAGCTTACTATTCTACCACCTCCTCTCCATATTTATCTCTGCAGTTTTTCCACGTGATACTGGAATACAATCCTCAAGTTTCTTAACTTCGTACTCCTCTCTTGGTTGATTTCATTCTTTATCTTGTTTTCCCATCTTGAACAAGAAGATGGGGTATTCTGACTGCTCAGATCAAATCAATCATGTGTTGAATGCAGAACCCCAAATTGGCAGGTAACAATCAGAAACTTCGATGCGATTATGTGACCTTCCTCCCGAACCAAGACAAAACCACATTTTAACAATATAAAGCCAAAAAGCTAGGAAAGAATCTTGCACTGAATGATTTTATTTTACTTGGAATGCTTTGCATTAAGTTATTTTTGCAGAATCCAATAGAAAACACAAGAACAACCTTTAAGTTTCCTTCCAAATAGGATTCATAGATATGGAAACACGAATATAGTGTGAAGACATAGCCGTACCTTACACTAGCTCCATATTTATTTATTTTTCTTATGATGATTAGCTTAAATTAGATGACAACAATGAGCATGCCTACCGTCAAAACAACTATTGCTGTAGTAGCAGTGAAGATAGTCTGTCCGTGTCCTTCTGGAAGGTCATGAACTGATTGCAGAGCAAGGGCAAATGCCATAGCCCCTCGAAGTCCTGTTCATGTTCATAAAGTACAAAACTCAACAGAACAGGAAAAGCATTAAAGAACATGCCAAAACAAGATGTAGTTTGTTTTATTGACAGAACAAAAAGAACCTTCCACACTATAGTCAAGATCTGCATCTTCCTCAAATCCTTACCACTATACCAAAGTGCTTTCTGGTGTTTTAGAGGTATTTGTCGATGGGCAGGTCTGATCAAGTTGACCACATATGTACAAGAGAACACATTAGCTGCCCTGCATGAGGTGGTTAAACAATATATTTTACAATTTCATAAAGAAATATGATAGCTAAGCTTAGAAGGGTCAAATGTGCATGCATGCTGTTATATTTTACCAAACTAGCTAAAAAGCCAGACTAGATCATGTCACTATGATCAAATACTCGTGATGATATAAATTACAGAAAAAATACCTTGCGATTCCAATTGATATCTGAAGTAGTTACCAAGCAAGTTGAGGATGAGGATAAATAAGAATGTGGAATGACAGGTAATCCAAATCATAAAAACTCAAATTTATGGGTCAAAACTAGACGATCAAGGAAAGGATACAATGGAGAAGAATATAAATCCAACATGTGACCAGCGATGTTTCTCCATAGCAATATCAATGCCCATGTAGATGAATCTGTAGATCATAAGATAAAATGATTCCCATGCATCATTTTGAGGAAATATTGAGCTATAAGAAGGGAGATACTGCAAAACAAATCCTCCTTACACAAATGTCTCTGCTAATGATGATATCAACTCAAAAAAAGCAGAGACAAATCCTTGAGAACTACATGACAAATTCGAATATGTGTAATGCTTCATGACCTAAAACATAACACAAAAATACTTATAACAACGCTTTAACACACATATACAATGAAACATTAAAACTACAGTATGCAATTACCATTCCCGTGAACAGTATTGATACAATACCAGACAATCCAAGACCTTCTGCAAGCATGTATCTGCAAAATAAAATAGTTTGCACCATGCATAAAGGAACTTACAGAACTTCAACAAAGTTAGGAAGAAATGGTCCAAGGAGATTTCTTACGAGAAATATGGGAAAAGAACAAAAAGACAGCTCTCCAAGTTCTGAAGACTAAATTGAAAAATTTTGTGATCAGTGTTTTCCAGACATGATGTGAATAATCATATATTTAACCAAAAAATAAAATAGAAATACTTACTTGTCAACATCCAACCCCGCATACTTAAATAGGTTCTGATAGTTAAGGTTTCACAAAATATTTTGACTTTTAAACCTCTAAATAGTAATGCTGCATATATGTAGGATAACCATTAGTTTAAAAGGATATTAAAGCAGATATAAATCCAACTCCAATACCTGCAGATCCACCAAAAACAATGCCAACTTAAGAATACTGAAAATATAACAATTCTTTCTGCTTAAGCAAAGGAAAAACAAAAGAAAGTACAATATAACACTTTACAATTAAATACTCTCTCACGTCTTCTATGATAATAGTTGTTATATTAATTGGGTAAAAGCAACATAAAGCAAGACCAAGCATAAAAGGAATATCATGACAGAAGAAACAACACAAAGTGTAGGGGGTAAGTACAGCTGATGACAAATTTCTAAGCAGAATAAGGGAAAAATATAGTTTACCCCCCTCTAATTTCACACTTTCTCAACCTATCTCTCTTAACCTTTTTCTTTTATGTGACTGGACCCTTTTTTCCTCTAGATCAAAGTGAAACCATCAATTTTTCCATCAAAATTAACATCATTTACCCTTTTTGTGTTACCTGATCTCCCTCTACTTTAGACCAAAGTGAAGTTGTTTCATTCATGTTAGGGTCAATTCCATAACATCTTGATGTTTTGAAAAAAAAAATGTTTTAATAGGTGCTAATTTATCTGAGATATCTAAATGATGAGTTCACCCACTAATTATGATGTGAAAGGTTAAGTTCTTTTGTAAGGAAAATGGTTGATTTCATGACTTCAGTGATATCAAAGATAGTGTGAAAATGTTCTATTCTTCATTGTTGTGTCTGCTGCTCATCCTGTCTAAGGGGTTGTTCAATAACCACTAACTATATTTGGTGGAAAAATATTAAAAAAAAATGTGTTAGCAAGTCTAAGGAACTAATCTATTTTACACTATGGAATAGTTAATACAATCTCAGAGAATGAAGGACAGTTTCTTAGGCTGCCATACAGACGACAGATTGCATTTTCCACCAAGTACCAACGTTTTCTATTGCTATTTGTCAGTAAAGCATCATAAATGATTTTCCACAGAAGGATCCAAATTCATTGAGGACCATTCTAATTATGTGTGCTACCAACCAAGACAAACTACTTTTCACAAATTGGAGTTTGCATGCCTCCTTTGAACAAGTGGAGTATCAATCTTCCACTGATTTTTATCATAAAGGCGGTATTCATCTGGTTTTCATCATGAATGTAGTTGTCATCAAGTGATACAAAATAAAAAATATTCTTTGTGCTCCTCTTTTTGTGGGATTTAACACATTTTAATAAATTGACTCCAATGAATATTATTTTCTATCAAAAATGAGGATTTCATGTAACTGACATCAACATTGACAAAAAACTTAATAGTTTCATTTTAGTCCTATGTAGAAGGAGATTGAGTGACACCAAAAAAAAGGTTGAGGAGAGTAGGTTGGGAAAATGCAAAACTAAATTATGGTAAACTATAATTTACCTTATCTTTGATGACCATAATACTAGTAATTCAACACCAGACACTGCATAAAGAGAACAATAGGTAAAATTTATAAAACCAACCAGCAGACATTGACCCAACAAAAGTCTCCAAAAATCTAACAACCACCATGAAGAAATTTAGTCCAGATGGATGCGTTTTTATCACTAACATTGTCCTGCAAAGCAAGTGGTTGAGTCAAAACGAAGTTTAACGATACTTGGATTACTTTGGACACACATAAAATTTTCAAATACCTGTACAAAGAAATAGCCATCTGCCAGTAGCGCCCAGGGGAGTTTAGAGGGAAAATATTAGCCAGCAGTACCATCCATACTTAAATTACAGACGCACTTCACCAGGGTATAAAAAAATATTGTAGCAATAGAAACTTACTGCATCATTCAAAACAGATTCTCCAAAAACCAAGGCATACAGATTGACATCTGTGCCGAGCTCCTGCAATAGGACAGGCAAAAGTGCACTCTAAGAACAAATTGAATCGGACGTAAGGTATATACTACATTATAATACTCAGAACTACAACTATTAAAGCAGTATGAATATGTAAACCAGCTGACCTGAAAAATTGACAAAACAGTAACAGGATCAGTCGCGGATATAAGAGCACCAAACATTAGACACTCAACAAAAGGCAGTCTGTACATGAGGTACACCAATCCTCCAAGATAACTGCAGAGTAACAACATGGTGGAAATCAATCATAAATCCTCATTCATGCACAAGGTAGCTGTAGTAAACGATACCACGTAACAAATGAAAAGGCAGAAAACTTACACTAAGACACCGGTGACAATGGAAGCCAGAAAGGTGCCGAATATAGCAAACGTGACAATAGCTCCAAAATTAGAGAAGAAAGGTTTCTGCGAAGAGCACGAACGGCAAGTGAAAAAGGCACATTGAAATGAAAGAATAGAGGAAATTTCGGAAAGCAAAAAAGAACTCACAGGCGAGAGACTGAAGCCAGACTGAGTAAAGCGAAAGGTCAAGGAAACGCGATGTAATGAAATGAATGAAAAGTGAATAATAATAAGAAGAAGAAGAAGAGAGTGGTTGAGGATATAATATGATAGGAGGTAAAAGGAAGAGCAGGAAGAACTCCTCGTGAAAATTGAACCACGCCCTGCAGTGGTGGAAGTGAAATGAAGAGAGGTTTAAGAATTATTGAAAAGAAGAAGAAGAAGAAGAAGAAGAAGAAGGAAAATAGAAAAACCTGATGTTAGTCTGAGTGTGAGAAATGTTGGCGAGTGTGCCAACGAGTAAGCCAATGAGAAGAGAGGCGCTGGCTTCGGGGAGAAGGTAAATCTTCTTGCGACGAAGAACGTGACCTAACACGAATGACAGAACCAACATCATGATCTGAAGAAGAATCCCAACGCCCGCAGCTTGTTGCTCTTTGCTCACACCACTTACGTCAACACCTTCTGCCGGAGATATTTGATCCTCCATCTTCTCCCACTCTCCCTCCCCTTTTTCCTTTCTCTTTAACTACCCTCCTTCATGCATCCTTCTCATTTTATTTATTTATTTATTAATATTACACAATTTCTCCATTCGTCTTCCCGTGCCCACGTGGACGCCATCTTCTCTGCCATCTGTCCTTTTCTTGTTCTCTGTCAAAATCAATAACCATGCCCTACAAAAAGTGCACTTTTGACTTTATCTTAACCTTTTTTTTTAATGGTTTGGGCCTGCGGGCTTTCATATTTTATCTAACTTGAAAATCGTGATTGCCTGAGCCTGGATGGCCTCTTTATTGTAGTTTTTGGGGAGCAATTATAAGTGATGGAGCGACCCAATTGATTGTGCAAACTTTACGACTTTTTTATCTTAAAAATGCTAATCAACAAACATGGGCCTGAAATTAAGCAAATCCAGTAGTTAGATTGGATTCATAGCAGAAAGAAAAAAAGGGATAAGGAAGCGTGTGTATATAATATGGTATTTCACAATATTTGATTTGGATAATTTGAGATATAATCAGACATGGGAATGTAATATGGTCCACTCGTCCTTTCGTTCATATTGTGCCCGTGTCCTTTCACCAGGGAAGCATGCATGGAGCGTACATAGGTGTTTATTTATTTTTTCTATTTTATTAATATTAAGTACTTTTGATTAAAATATATTATAATATCTTTTTGTATTTGTTTTTTTCTCAATAATTACAATATTTTACGCTTATTTTTCTTAAATTTTTACTTTTTTAGAAAAATAGTTTATGTTAACGTAAAAGTAGAACATTTTAAGCATCTATTTTATATTTAAAAATATATTTTAAAGCGTGCGTATAAAAACGATAAAAGTAAATAAAAAATAATGTAACTATTATTTTATATTTTTCCAAAATAGTAGATCATAAAAAGAAAAAAGAGAATATAGAAGTAAAGGAGGGAGACAAGGTTGTTTTGTGTTTGTTTGGTTTGTGATGTGTGACGAGGAAACATTCGTAAAAGCAAAGGTAAGAGGTTTCTTTTTCTTAGTTGAAGTTAGTTGGTTAATAAGTGTGGTGGGTGTGAGTGGGACGTTCCATCTTTTTCAGAATCGCACTCAACCCAACCTCTTCTCTTCTCTTCACTTGTGCTCCATTCGTTAATTAGCACACTTCAACTCCTTCCTTCCCCTAAGGTTCGCTTCTTTCTCTCAGTTTTCAGCAAATTCATATTTTTATGTTTCTTTCATAAATTGGGGACATCGATCGATCTTTGCTGCATTTTTATGCCTTGATGTTCTACATAGTCCTGTGAAAACAATGTTAGAAAACCTCATTTTATGGGATTTGAACTCTTCTATAGATCCTTCCCCCTTACTCATTGTCCCCATTTGTTTAGAATGCAAGGCTACTGAATAAGTGCTGTGAGAGTAAGAAGCTAGCTAGGTACCATCTAGGTAGTGCAAACTTGGGATTCTTTTGTGCTTGTGTTTAAATTTTTGCAGTCACGGTCTTGACTTGAGATACTTTCTCAGCAGTTTTTCTTATCTTTGCTTATGAAATTGTGTAGGATTGGAAAATTGGAAAGTATCGAATATCTTGTTTTGGAATTACTTAGTAAAGAAGTGCAGTTTCTTAATGTATCGGGTATTTGGACTTTGATCATAGACATGGTGGTACTTGGTATCAGATTTAAATGCAACATAAACACAGCAACGTTGCTCTCTGCATTTTTACTTTTAGCTCATCAACCATAAATTTCTACTATGCTTGAAGAAAATTTATTCCACCCACAAAATTGAAGTTATTTTACACATACAGTAACTCCCGTAGCCTGATTACTAGGTTTTGTTTCTGTTTGCCTTGCATTATCTTCCAACAGAGAACGCCCTCCCTACTGAATGTCTGAAATCTTTCAACCTTTGTTAATAGTCATCCTTAACTCTGCGCCTGCATATAAATATAATTAGAAGACATGCTTAAATATCTTCTTTGGTGTCAATGTATTTCTTTTTGGGTTATTTTATGTCACTATTGATATCATATAATGTGACTGTTACCTGCGTGCAATAAGACTCTAGAATTTCTGGTCTCACTCTTTCTGATAAATTGTTATCTCTTGTGCTGTGTGACTGTTGTTGCAGAACCTAAGTATGTAGTGTAGAATCAGATATGCAGTTTGAATTTTGAATCACACAGTCCCAGCTTGATGCTTATGTTCTGTTTTTGTTCTGCTATTATAGCCTTCTAGCATCTCAATGATGACACAAGAATCATCAGAGGTGTTGGAAAAACATGCAAACTCAGGCTCTCATGTGAGGGGAAGTAGTGAATATGTTAGACTGGTCCTATCCGATGATCCAAGGGCTATTGAAACTGAAATAATCTTGCAGCCTCGAGCGGAATCAAGAATTAAATCTTTCTGGTGGTGGATGAAATCCTTTGTTGGGTGCTTTGTCATTCTTATACTTGCTTTTGTTCTTATGAAATGGGGAGTGCCACTTTTTTTTGAAAAGGTATTTTCTCTTTACAACTGTTCTGGTGCTTCATTTGCTTTCTTTAAATTATCCTTACTAGGTGGTCTTTGCAATTCCTGTTCAGAAATTCCCTGGTATAGTAGTTATTTAGCTGACATGCATTTGTTGATATTGACAAAATTTCTGGAATACTGTCACCTTCAGTGTTCTAATTTTTTAAACTGAAATATATATTATAACAACAATATATGAAGTTTGATGTTTTCCTTGGCATCACATATTAAGTCGTCAGTTATTGTTGCAAGTTCCATTTCCATACTGCCCCCCCCCTCCCCCCCCTATGTGAATTATGTTGCACTGGTGCACAATTTACTATGGTTTTTTCAAATGTGATGAAGAAAATGTTTAGATGAATTGTCTTGACATGTGATCCATACCGTAATATTGACTTTTCCGTGACTTCATTTGACAAATGCTTGGGTTTTAGAATTATATACACTGTTGGCATTCGACTTTATTATGGCAAACAGTATGTTGTAGCATGGATGAAATTCTATGCTGGAATATAGCTTGGGATCTTCTCCTTCAAGTCAGCAAGAAATTCTGTTTTTTATACCCTTATTTTTTACATTTTTGCTTTCCAAGTCTGCAGACTTGAGGGATTATATAAATAATGATATCTTTGATACTTCTATGAACAAGCTTAGAGTCTTCATTTAGTTTTTGTGGAATGACATGCATTCCATATGGATGCTTGGAACATTTGATTAATTTCATATTTTGAAGCCTTTTTCTTTTTAATTCTTTTACTGCAGGTTCTTTACCCAACCATGGAGTGGGAAGCTGCTGCCTTTGGGCGTCCAGTTCTTGCCCTAGTACTTGTTGCTTCTCTGGCTTTATTCCCAGTATTCTTAATCCCTTCTGGCCCCTCCATGTGGTTGGCAGGGATGATTTTTGGTTATGGCCTTGGCTTCTTTATCATAATGGTTGGAACAACCATTGGGATGGTCCTCCCATACCTGATTGGACTACTGTTCCGTGACCGCATTCATGTAAATCATTTAATTTCTCCCAAATTTTGTATTGTATTTTTCTTATGTAGGTTTTATTGTTATCTTGAGACCTCTGTTTCTATATTCTGTAGCCATGGTTAAAGAGATGGCCCCAGAATGCGGCATTGATTAGGCTTGTAGGGGAAGGGAACTGGTTCCACCAATTTCAAGTGGTTGCAGTGTTTAGGGTTTCTCCTTTTCCCTATACTATATTCAATTATGCTGTGGTAGTGACAAATATGAAGTTTTGGCCATACTTATGTGGATCCATTGCTGGAATGGTACCAGAAGCTTTCATCTACATCTACAGGTTTGTTTGTCTTTCAATTTTTGGTCCTTAAACGGCTTAATGAGTGGGAATTATAAATATAGTAATGTTTTTTGAACACCAGGAGGTAACACCTACAGGTGTCCCTTTGTGGATTTTGGAATGTGTGTATATTTTTAGTATTTTAAATAATCAAACTCATATAAACATATTCCTCCATCCTTATTTACTTTATAAATACGTTAAAAAAATCCATAAATGTAAATTTAATGCAGAACTTATAATTAGTAGCATTGAAGTGAATATATATTCATCGTTTAAATATGAACTCATACATGCTCATAGTCAAAAGTGAATTAGAGTTCTGTTAGATACATAGACAAATTCCACCGCTAGCTCACAAACTTTTATCTTACTCCAATTTTTTTCCTATTTGTTCTTTCTCTCTCATTTTATATATGGCATCTAAGCTAGATGATATTGGCTTTGTCAAATTCTGTATGGTTGATCATCTAAGTTTCCTTTTGTTTTTTATTTAGTGAGTTATCCAGTAAGTCAACTTATCGAGTTGGAAGGTTGAGTGAGGTTGATTTTTGAATTGGATTGATTTATTTAAAACTTAATACGTGATTAGGCAATTCAAATGAGTATATAGATGTGATTCACCGTAGTATTGTTTTTGAATAAACTAATATCTTTCTTTTTCTCAGTGGTCGGTTAATAAAGACATTGGCAGACGCACAGTACGGGAAGCATCACTTGACTACCGTGGAAATCGTATATAACATTATTTCTTTCATTATTGCAATTGTTACCACTGTTGCCTTCACTGTTTATGCAAAAAGGACTCTAAATGAACTCAAAATGGTAGAGTTGAACGAGGAAGTTAGGTCTGCTTCTGAGAAGGGTTGCTTTGAGATGGAGAAGCTTCCCCTTGAAAGGCCTAAGCAGCTAAGTTTGTCAAAATTTTTGTGAGTGTACATTCACATGTTGCTTTAGGATTACATTTATAATACGTTTTCCTCATACACCCTATGATGATTTCTGTAACTAGGATGTGGATAGAAGAAAAGCAAAAGGTCGAACACAGTTATACACCATTTTTCTGACTTCTATTTACTCTAAAAACTTTTTTCGAGGGGAATAATTTGATTGGCCAGCTGATTTTTTCCCCTTCGTATGCTTCTATAATGCTTCATAATTTAAGAAAAATGTTAACATTTAGTTTTAAAATTAAGTTTAGGCAATTAATAATAATGTGATTTTATTAAAAAAGTATTTATTATAGTTTTATATATTTAATAAAATTTTTAAATGTTTTAACTTTTGCAGCGAAGTCTTTAGTGATAATCAAACTCAGTTTTCTTCTGTTTTTTATTTTGGCCCGAAAGCGTTGGCACCTGAAGAAGTCATATTTATTCTGCTAACTTGGATACAAGCGTCTCGTTGATCAGAAGTGGAGTTTGACTCTGCAGTTACATTTACACCACCATCCATTTCCATCAAGTCCAACATTTCAAAATCTAGAGTAGCTTCACTCCTCAAGTGGCGTTACATTTGATACGGTGTACAAAGAAAACAAATCTTCGTCTCCTTTTTAGTGTTCATAGCACATTCATAAAAGAGCTAATGACGTGTCTAGCTGCTAGCCATGCTAGTGCATGAATAGAACTACTGGCACATCATTCAGAACAACTTATGACCATTTTACAAATAGATTAAAAGAAGTCTCAAGCTTACAAAAAAGGAAAAAATAAAAGGTTCGAGTAGATTAACTGTGTAAGACATTAGATGAGCGTGTCACTTACATGCGGTTCGTTTTGCACGTTTAAAAAATTCAGGATTTGATACATATATATACCATGTATATCACAAAAAATATTAGACAAACAGTCTCAATGCTAGTCTTGAATCGAAGATTGCTCCTAGACAACTAGATTTACTAGGCCTAGTTCCACTACTTTCATTTGTCCATGCCCACCCTTGGCTCCAAGTACCTCCATCTTCAAAATTATCAATAAGCTGAAGTCAAGTACTTGGTGGACAGAGGATAACCAATGCCTCATGGTTTCCATGGTGCTGGAGGCGGTGGCGGTGTCGGAAACATTGGGGGAACAGCAGAGAAAAGGGTGTTTTTGTCTATTCCTGTGCTTTTATCTCCCGACAGTGCTACAAGTGCAGCTACTAAACCTGCATTTCCTGCAAGTGTTGGCTCTGTGTAGTTGTAGTTGGTTCGGACATCATGGAAACCATCGTGCTTGTCAGGACCAGCAACCATAGCTCCAACAATTGTATGTGGGTTTGGCTTCGACGTATCTCTCCATTTCCATCCTCCTTTACAGTTGTACTTAACCTTGTTCTTTGGTATAGATGCACCTCTATGGTGCACATGTTTTGGATAATGATTACCAAAACCTACAACATAGCTCATTTTTCGAGGGTTCTTCCCAAGGATGTAATCAATCTACAAAATCACCCAGTAAAAGGAAAACAAAAATTTAGCTCAGACACTTGATATTAATTTCAATTATGCAAACAATTTAAAAGGGCAGAATCGCACACACCTGGGTCTTGGCAAAGTCTCGAAGAACATCAGTTGAAAAGAAATTGGGTCCACAGTACCACCCAGGCGTATCGGCGGCATCGAGATAATCACTGTATAGGGCAGCCAAAAAGGCTGCATTGACAACATATTGGAGAGGCTGAGGCCTACCATGGTTTAACTGAATCAAGCCGCCTGGGTACAGAAGATAGCACATTCTCATCAGAACAACAATTGGAAAATCATGCAACCTGGTACTTGGAAGAAAGGATTGAAATAGGAGAACTTCTACATTACCTCTTGTTCTATTAAAGCTTGTGAACATGGGTAGGTAGGAACACATAATTATACCGGTCTGATTGTGAAATGTCCTTAAAATTTCTTCATATGGATAACCGGGACTCAGGAACAACCTCAAACGACTGAGAAGAACCTAAATACAAGACGAAGAAGGATTCCATTACTGACTTTCTTTGACTTTCTTATAACTTAAGAACGAAGCAAGCAATCAAATTGGTGAGCATGGCTACAACCACATTATGATGAAACTAAAATCAAGACCTTAAAAGGAAAAAAATGAGCAAACATCCAAAGATACCTGAGCACCAGTGAGCTTGTTATCCCAGCTTAGGACGCCATAGTCAGGTCCACCCCAGAAAGCACCAGCATGCTTGGCGAGGCCAGGAGTGGTAGCAAGCTTAAGGTAAGAAGAATTGCCAGTAGCAAAATACATCCACGCCCCTCCCCAAACGAACTCATCCCAATAACTAGTCGAATTGTAGAATATAGAAGCCTCTCTCCCACCCGCACTGTACCTTCCCCTCTGCCACCTCGAAAACTTGTACAGCGTCGTCGCCCCGTGCACCAGCTTCTGCGAATATGCCTTGTTGTCCTTGAAGACAATCGAAGCCGCAGCCAACGCAGCAGCCATCTCCGCCGCCAGGTCCGAGCAGCTTTGACACTCCGTCACCGGCCGGTCATAATCGATGTCCTCCGGACGCATCCAGCAGTAATGATCGTTGGGAGTGGTACTCCCGCCGGAAGTGTCGCCAGATCCAACCTGCGCGGCGATGGAATTAATGGTGTCGGCGGTATTGTTGAAGGTCTTGAGAAAGTAATCGGTTCCCCACTTGATGATCTCCTTGACATGAGCGAGTTCCCCGGCAGCCTCGTACTTGGCGCTGTACTCAATGACGCTCCAGCTGAGCATGGTGATGGCAAAGGACGCCGGAAAGTTGAACTTGATGGCGTCACCGGCGTCATAGTAGCCTCCGACGAGATCCTTGATGAAGCTGGAAGTGCCACCGGCCTTTCCGTCTTGCAGACACGAGTTCCCTCTCCAGGAAACGTTGTTGTGCCTGGGAAGCTTCCCCGCTGCCAGCAAGGCACACAAAATCAATCAATTAAATAATTAGTTAATAAAAGAAGAAAAAAAGAAAAAGAAAAAGAAAAATGAGTACATTTTTGGGCGTTGAAGAAGAGAAGGGCCTTGTGGAGTGCGAGGGTGTAGTTATCGGGAGGGGGTTGTTTGTGGTGGTGGCGAGGGACGGTTTTCACGATGAGGGTGATGAAGCCTGCCAAGAAGGCGCACACGGCGATGGTGCCAAGTGTCCAGAGAAAGATCTTGCGGCTGACGATGATGCATCCCAGATCTACGTACTTCTTCTTCTTTTTCTTTTGCTCGCCGGCGCCGAGAAGCCAGCTCTGCTGAGTCTCGTCCAGTGCTGCTCTGTCCACCTCCTGCAGATTCCGGCTGCGCTCGTCGTCCGTGGCGGAGTCTGTGGCGTGGATCTCCAGCGGTCCACCCCACGGATCCCTACCGTACATACTCATCTTTGATCGCAATTGCAAATGCTAATGCTTCTGGTTAGTGTCGGTGCTTGATGAAGGTGAGTGTAGTCAACAATCACATGTAAGGTTCCTTTCTTCTTCTTCTTCTTCTTTTTAATTAATTATTTATGTTAGCGACACCCAGTCGCCAGCTCACTAATGGACAACCACGGTCTCTTGTCTCTCTGTAATCCAATGAGCACCGCAATTTCACTTTCTTATCCCACCCTTCCTTTTTAAAAAATTCAATTTTTTTTTTAAATTATGATTATTGTGTTGATGGATCTCAGCCCATTATCTTATTGGCCCAGTTCGGCATGTCTCTCCCAACCAAAAATAAAAAGTTGGGCAAGTTTCTTTAATCATTCCCTAATTATTGATCCAAAATAACATAATGCCTGTTCCCTCAAAATTAGCCCAAATCATATTTCGATCTCTATATATGTAGGAATATCTTGTCTTATAAGTCAATACTAAAATAAAAAAATAGCTACGTTGGGTTAAATAGAAATAAAAGGAAGGAACTTTTAGAGAAATAACATATTTCGTTCAAAGTCTTGTAAAACAAATAAAAAAATTTGAAATTCTTGTTTTCTTGTTTTTATAAATTATGCTGACTAAGTTATCATCAATTTACATGCTTGATCTATATAATTTATACTTGTTATTTTTCTACTATACAATACCATAATCATTTATTTTAATTTTTTCTTCGCTTTTTGTAAATCAAATAAAAAAATTATTCTTTCTCCTTTTTCTCAAAAAAACTACATATTGCCTTTTGTCACCTTTGAATATAGAACTCTAGGTATGCTATTAATGAAAGGAAATGTATATTCCCTTTAAATATCAAATTTGTTTTTCTAAATAATTATATTTAATTTTGAATATTTTAAACATTTCCTATATTAATTTATATATTTGAATTCTATATTTTTATTAAATTTATTTTTAAAAATTTAGAAAATAATTAGTAACAATAATAACTTGTAGTTGAATGAAGTCGACAAATGAAGTCCGTATTAAGGTTGATAACTGAAGATAACAATATTGATAGTTGGAAGCATTGGGACGGCACCAAGCGTTAGGTAGCAATGGTATGCAATGGAATTTGACTTGCTGCGTTATCGTTGATGATCGATGATTATACAATGAATAACTGTTCCATTTGAATAGGCGAACCAAGAAGAAGATAGCAAGCTGAAGCTGTATTCGTATTGGAGGAGCTCTTGTTCCTTCCGAGTCCGAATCGCTCTCAACCTCAAAGGCCGGTATTTTCTCTCTCTCTCACTCACACGCAACACTTTCTTTTTTCATCTCTCTCATACCGTGATAATTTGCATTGCGTTGGATTCAGGACTCAAATACGAGTACATAGCAGTCAATCTGTTGAAGGGAGAACAATCTCGTCCTGGTTTCTTCTTCATACCCTAACCTAACCTTTTCAATTTGTAAATTATGCATTGATTAATGCTTTGATTTATCTTCTTTTCTTTTTCAGAGCTTCTCCAGCTTAATCCTGTTGGTTTTGTTCCCGTTCTAGTGGATGCCCATGTCGTTCTTTCTGACTCTTTCGCCATTATTATGGTATGCTCACTCCAAATGCTTTCCTTTTCCTCTTTCTCTCTCTTCTAATGCATTTCTCTACATTTCCACGCAGTATTTGGAGGACAAGTATCCTCAGCATCCTTTGCTCCCTCGTGATATTCATAAAAGAGCAATCAATTTCCAGGTCTTCTATTGTAATTCATGATCCACATTCTCTTTTCCTCAAATTAAGCTGCTTCATAAGAGTGTGCTGTGTGGAGTTTCATAAGCTATATATTAGAATCCCCCCCTAATATGTGGATTCTCTTCTGTTGATTTGGTCCGCAGGCTGCTAGTATTGTTTCCTCAACAATACAACCACTTCAAAACCTGAGTTTACTGGTATGTTATGTATGCCATTTCTTCTTTTTCTGAAAAATTTCAATATTATTGTTATTGTTATTGGTGTTGTTTTTAAATTTATTTGTAAGAAACAACCATACGTTGATGCTAGAGTGCATGTGATATGTTTGTACTTATCGTGCTTTTCTATTTGCAGAACTACATTGGGGAAAAAGTTAGCCCTGATGAAAAACTTCCTTGGGCCCAAAGTGCAATTAGAAGAGGCTTTACAGGTGAGGTTTGACTAACTTTTTTGTACTGCACTTTAGAGAGAAATAAATAAAAAACTGCAAAAAAGAAAGTTCTGAAGTTAAGGGTCATGCATTTGTTTCAGGTTAGACAGTTTACTTTGATATACTAGCTTATTTCCTATGATGACAGATCATTCATTAAGCAAGGTTTGCTTTCCCAGTCTGTGGTTTTATAGACCCCGTTTGTCCAAAAGTTAAGAATAAGGGCCAAAGTAGCTTATATCTAAATGACCCCATTAAAATGGAACTTATGAAATGGACAAGAGAAAGAAAAAGAGATGCATGATGATAACCTATTCTAGCCAATGTTCCAAATTACCTCTAAGTTGATAGTTCGTCGGAGTTGAACCATTGTTAACCAGATGTTTTGCTGATAGTTGACATCTGTTACAGTCAGAACCTCAACTATGTTTTTATGAGTGTTCCATTAAGTTCTAAATAGTAATGCACATAGAAAGATGGCGTGACTAATGCAAATCTGACTTGAACCTAAAAAAAAATATGAAGTTGATCTTTGGCATTGAGCGTTCAGCTCTGAACTATCTTTTGACAGACTAGCATGCCTGTTAATGGTTGAAGAAAATGTTCACTGTGATATTTTGTTCTCCCTCCTCCCCACTCTTACTGATGAGATGGACTCTGTTTGTATTGTGCCCTTCCATACGAAATACAGATTTCAGTTTGTTTTTGGTTTATTCAAATGCTGTTTATTGCTTGTGTTTCAGCACTCGAAAAGCTATTGAAAGACCACAAAGGAAAATATGCAACTGGAGATGAAGTTTTCCTGGTATGTTGCTTGTCTTGGAATTTAGTCATTTGGAAATCTTTTAAGGGATAACTCCTTTTCAAGGGTCCAGTAGCCTTACAATCTTGACTGGTCTTATCAAACATTTCTGACCATGGAATACAATGTAAAAGATGTATTTGTGCTCTGATATTTTGGATTACAATTAGAATGAAACTCAACTCCAAAGTCAATGGTCACAAGGGTTCAAAAATTTATAGGATTAACTATTGAAACAAGCAATGATGCACTTGCACATCCTAGTTATTTATAATCTAACAAGGTGGTTATCATTTTCAGGCAGATATATTTTTAGCCCCACAGTTACATGCAGCATTCAACAGATTCAACATTCAAATGGTAGTATTCTGTTCCTTCTCATCTATATCTTTTATGTCAGGAGAATAAATGATGGTGATAAAATGTGTAACTTTAGATGGCTTCATCTAGTAGGATAAGACTTGGTTATCATCATTGTAATAAAATGTGTGACTTGTATTGCTATGGTAGTATCGCTATAGCCCCTTTATCAAGGATGTGATCTTTATTGTCTTCTCTATTCTAATTAAAATTTTGGTAAATTAAAATTCTCTCTTTGTAGTTTCACATTTTTTTTTTCAACTTAGGCCCTATACATTTTTTTTTGTCATTAAGCCCCCTTAAAATTGGGTTAAAATAAAAAAAATGCTATAATCATGGTTAAAATCGTGTTTAATAAGCCTAAGATACAAAAATCGAAGTATTAGGAAGGGGTTTTAGTGAGACAAAAAAATATAGCTAAGTTGTGAAAATGTGAAACTAAAACAGGGTGAAATGTAACTTACCCTTAAAATTTTAATGCAAGGCTTAGCCTTGTGTTTTGTCCACTCTCCAAACCAATATAGACTATGTATTGCCTATAAGCTTTAGCTTTTAGTTGATATAGATTTTACCTGATTGTCAGCCCTTTATTGTTCAAATCAAACTAATAATGTGAATGTGTCAAATGAAGAATTGATCTTAGTCAGATCAGTTTGATAGTCTGTAAGATTTCTTAGAAATTCATGAAGTCAGCTTAACCTTATAAGAACCGATCAGTTATAAATAGATTTATTGACATTATATCTTTTATGAATTTTGATTTTTTTATTTTATTTTATTTTTTAATTTGCAAAATCTTTGGTAGTATGTTAAATTGCATTTCCCAAATTCATCATTTGACAACTTACTTTACTCCTCTTTATTGTCCAAGCAGAACGAGTTCCCTATTCTATCAAGATTGCATGAGACATATTATGAGATCCCAGCATTCCGGGAGGCTCTACCAGAGAACCAACCAGATGCAGTACATTAGTTGAACCATAATTTGGGACTGGTAAGCTATCTCTAAAGCACTTGGGAAATATTTCATGTGTCAATATTTTATATTATATCAATTTTAATGGGCTTTTTAAATGGGCATAGTTTTTAATTTTCAATCCTTGATTGATTGATCCCAGAAACGTGGCCTGATATTAAGTTCGAGAAATTCCAGCAGGAGCTACTGATTCAGCATCTGGTTGAATTTGCAAAAAATAAAATACGATACTTAAATGTAGCAATAAGGTTGCCACGTGCATTGTCATGCACAGTGGAAAAAACAGTGATTTGGATTATAAGTTTTCCATTCATATTTCCCAGTTAATTTTGCTTGATGGATTGTTGGTCATGTATTTAAGTGGCGATTGAAACAGCTAATTTGAATTTATGATAATGATTTGTGACTTTTTTATTAATTCATTTTAATAAATCCCTGGTAAGTATTTTAGTAACTTGTATATTGGTACTCATTGTTTTTTATTAAAACCCAAACGTTAAAAGTAATTGAATACCGTTTCAAAACCATGTAGCACAGATCCAATCTTTCCCACACCATAGACAAGACAATCACCTTCTCTCCGTTGTCAACCATTGACAATCCAAAAACCCATAAACCACTGGCACCACAACCACGTCATCATTGAGCCTGCATCATCATTCTTAGCCACCATGAACAGCTTTACATCAAAATTGCTACCATTTTAGAATCCAAACAGCCATTCCCTCCTTAATTTAAACTAGCTCTGTAGACATCACCACCACACTGAACATGCACAAGCAGCATACCTCACCACTTTAGACCCCAACTTTTCATCAAGATACACATTCCATCCCCACATCAGCATCTGCAATAGTATAAATTTGCGAATAATGAAGAATTTGTGAGCGCACCTTGTTCTTGCTTAGGCCACCTCAATAGTTTCTTCTGTTAAATAAGATGTAGATATACCTCTACTTTATTTTTCAAAATTATAATGTATAGTTGCATAAATAAAATTGCTTATTAGAGAAACAAGTGATATACAGTGTTCTATTATATTTTACTGTGTATACATAATTTGATCATCAATTGTTGTGCATAAAATTATTTATTACTGGCATCCGTACAATAAATAATATTCTTCACTTCATTACCATAATAATAAAAGAAACAAAAAAGTTAGTTAAAATTAAAATTTTGAGTTCGTCAGCTAATTTAAATTTAATTTATAACTCGTCATATTAATTTTAATTTAATTTTCATGCTTTGAATATTGTAATTTTATGCAGAAGTTACCAATATTTGCTACATAAAATCTTGAGAAGGAGTGAAAGAATAAAGAAGTAACTATTGTATTTGACATAAATATTAAAATAGATTTACTATAGATTATGATATTTTTTATATTAAAATTACACTTATATAAGTGTTATAAATTCAATAAATTCAAATATTTATTCTATAGACTTACTAACCAACCTATTATACAGGTCATAAGTAATCAATCTTAACCGTAAATGTATTTACTGTATTATAAGGTTTAACAGACTAAATCCTCACTTAAGAGCATGGATGCACCATATTTGTACGATGTAGAGGACGATATAAGTATTTTAGTCAGATTTAAAATTCTTGGACCTTAGCTATTATAGCTCCAGCTCTTTGTGGAGTGTCTTTTTATTGATTAACTGCATAATACCATCCCTTTAGTGTCCTCCAAATTACATTAGTAATACGAGTCTTGTTTTAATTTCTTAATCAGTGCCCTGTAGTTACTAGTTAGCATTTTCCTAGTAATATTAGTGTCTAAAATGCAGAGTTAATCATATTCCCGAAGTTTAAAATCTGTTTTACTGGTAAGATTTCTCTGGAGTTCATGACTTTCTGGTTCTTACGACTTATTGACTATTCAATAGCTGGTAAATTTTTTTGCAATCAACGTTTTAAACATAGAAGTGGCCTTTAGAAAAAAACGCGATCTCTTTATAATATACAAAATCTAAGGCATATAATAACATTTATTACCTAAATTCATCGTCCCTTTATTATTGTTCAAACAGAAGGAATTTCCTACTCTATCAAGAAGATTATATGAGACATATAATCAGATCCCAGCATATCGGGAGGCTTTGCCAGAGAACCAGCCAGATGCAGTACATTAGTTGAACCAATAATTTGGGAGGGTAAATGATCTCTACACTACTGCACTTGAGGCAATCTTCTATAGCCATTTATTTATTTATTTTTGCTAGTTATGTTCATGTGCTGAAGGCAATATTCTAGATTATACAAATTATAATTGGATTTATGACTTTGAGCGGCATATTTAAGTTTTTAATTAATTGATCATTGATCACATAAATGTGATCTGATATTAATCTTTCGAGAGTATATAAGTTGCTTATTTTTCTGATAAGGTTGGCAGGTACAAATATCATGGATGATGGATAATATTGATTTGGTTGTATGGCTAAAAGCCTTGTGATTATTTTCCGTCTCCTGTTGCTACTCAGCATACTTTGATGCATAGTTCATACAGGTCATATACTCCTACCATTCGATGACGATAGATAATAGTGATCCATATGAGCTTGGAGTGTATGTTTAAAGCCCTAAATAACAAATGAACACAATAATCAAATTAAATTATAAAATAAAAGAAAAAAAATTTCACTATTTGATGAGAGAAATGCTTATATTAAATGCTTGACTGTATTTTGAAAAGAATGATCTGTTATGAAATGACCTGTTTGATAAATTGATTTTTTGAATAATCAATCTTCTTGTAGTGTCCATTATATCCTTGGGTGCTGCTATATTCTTTTAATAAATTTTTAATATCTTTTTTATATAAAATAAACATTAAATAAAATTTTTATTTATTTATTGTGTAAAATTATAAAAATACTTACTAATTTATTTATTTAATAATAAAAAAGTTATTTATAAATATAAAAGATAAGAAACTTTGGAATTATTTTTATATCTTCATCTTTTTTTCCCTGTTCTGACAGGGTATATATAATACTCTGATAACGGCAACTCAACTGTGTGACAGTAGTGGAGACCAAACAAGAAAACCACAAATGTTTATATGTGCGTAGCAATGGATTGAAATTCAACAAAAATCATCATAAAGGTTAATGGGTTGAAAAGTCTGGATAAGATTTTTATTTTTTGGTTGACGATAAGATGTAAAATTTGAACCACACTTGTTCATCGATTATACGCTTAATTCATTAATTAGTGTTTACCAATTCATAGTGACCTTATCACATTTCAGAAGTTTAACATTTCTCATAGAAAATTAGGATATTCTTTTAAGTGTTTTTTAAAAGAAAAATTATTGTTATTTATATAAAGTTGTGCATAAAAAATTAAAAGAAAAAAAAGGATATTTAACGATCTTTTTTTCTTTGTTTGAGTATTTAACGATCTTTTAAACTTTATTCTTTTCATTGTAGACAATTTAAATTTTACTTTTATTTTAATTGATTCTTAAAATTTTATAATCAGTCACTTTAAATTTTATTTAAATTATTTTTTAAACTTTTAAAATTTTGTAAATAGACTATTATTGATTAGGGATCAAAATTAGATCTATATTTGAGGACTTAAAAAATATTTATAAAAATTTACACATTTAATATTTTATATTTTTATCATTTTAATTTTACAAATCATTGTGTGTGGGTGTATAACTAATAAAAATATATGATTTTTTTGGAAAATTTTGAAAACTACAACATTGAAAATTTAATTTTATGAAGTTAATTGTTTCAATTATTCTAAACACTTATGTACGTTATATTATGTAATTAATTACTTTATTGTTTTTGAAGTTTAATTTAAATTTAATTAAATATATTTTATGATTAATATATGAAATAATTTTTTTTATTGAACTCAGGCGTAGATTATAAATATCTAATGCAAATATAAGTTTATTACCACCGAAAACGTGATCAAAGAAAAATTTTATTACCTCTAATGTTGTTATCCGGCTAAAAAAACAGATATAAGTTAGAGTATAAATAGTTTTTTAAATATAAATATAAACATAATAACATCTTCAATACAAAGCCAATGAACTGAAGTGAGAATTCATTGTCGTTGATAGTAAAGGGCGATGCGAGTCAACCTCTTTCATCGACCCTAACCTCATGTAGCCTTTTTAGACCTAATGTCTTCTATAAATTAAGTTAGAATTAAATTATTAATTAAAAATCATTTATTTATCATAGGTATAAATTATTTTTGAATATTTCGTAATAATTTATTTTCTAAAAACCAAAATGTAATAAAAGTTCTGAATTTAATTTTAAAAAAACTACAAAAGGAAATAATAAAAAAAATCACAATATTTGCTTGTGTTTTATATTTGATGTCCCTTCCTCTATTTACCTTTTCTCTTTATTTTCCCCCTTAAAACTGTTATATCATATTATTATTAGAGTTTATTTATTTTTTATACTATCACTAGTATAAAGAATTTTATATTATAAACTAAATTAAAACATATAATATAAATGTATTTAAAATTAGCTAATTTGTTGCGTGTTCACTGAAACGGTAAATGATAGACATAAGTTATATTGAAACTTTGTATTTGTTTTTCTGTTAATAAATATTTAACAAGTTTTACTTATTTAATATCTATTATATAGGAAAAAAATAAACATAAAAATTTCAACACGACAACGTGAGGGTATATCTTTTTCCCTGCATTTATTTCACTTCCCGCGGTTACTATTCGAGCTGTTTCATCACAAACGGTTGATTTATCGTGACACAAACTGAAAAGAACCTTAAATGCAGTTTGTGACTTGTTGACTTTTCAGATAGTAGTGAATAGTAGAAGTTGGATATCAAATTAAGGATTCATTATTTATATACTGAAAGTTATGAGAGTCATAATATTTGCTCTCTTATGTACTTCATAGCTGATAATGGGTGAAAAAGCAATGCTATATCTGGTGCTTCTCAGTTATTTGTTGGTTGCGGAAACACAGACAACTAATGAGGATTGTAAGTTCAGTTTTAACGTTATGTCCCTATATGTTAATTACATAATTTTCTTAGCATACGAATATCATCAACATACATGAAAATTATAAACCATATATAGTACTCAGTCTCTAGCTTTTTATTTCTAAATCACAAGCAACTCATCATATTATTCACCTATCTTATCCATAAAACTTTGTCAAGCTCTAGCTAAAATATACGGATATTAAAGGAGATCACTTGAGCAGTTTACTATAGTAGCATCTCCAAGCTATAGAAGCAGCTTAATTGTATAGCAGCTCTCTACTATTCACTATTTCAATTCAGTTATCTTCTGATCATATACGGCGTAACTAATCATGGGTGGAATGCTTGTGTATTAAATTTACATCAATGATTTAATTAATATATATACTCTTAATTTCTCTTGGTATAATTTTGCATGCAGTTACAGCTCTGATGTCTCTTACCAATAGCTGGCAGAATAAACCATTCAATTGGGAAGGTTTAGATCCTTGTAGTGGTTGGGATGGAATCAAATGCACCAAATCACGTGTTACATCCATGTAGTATCTCTTTTGAATGTTTGTTCCAAGTTTTTAACATGTAGAGATTTCACTTGAGAGATTAACTTGCTTGCTAGTATTTCAGAAAATTACCGGGCTTGGATATTAAGGGCGAGCTTTCCTCAGATATTGGGTCACTGTCTGAATTGGAGACGTTGTAGGTCTTCTATTGCTTTCTGCATGTTTTTGCAATATAAATTATGGATGTTACACACTTTTACTTTCCTTCTTAATTTATTAACGTCAATGTAGCCAATTATCAGAGGTCTTAATAATTTACAAGATCGTTTGGGCTGTATACCCAGGAATTACTATTTATGCTAGGCTACTACTATCTTCTGAAATAATAATAACTTATTATTATTTGATTCTTTTTTCTTGTTTCTGACTTCTTTTCCTTAAAGAGATCTCTCTCACAATAAGGGTTTAACTGGTTCACTTCCACATTCAATTGGAAATTTGAAGAAGCTGTCAAACTTGTAAGGGAAAATCGAATTTTGTAGTAAAGATTATAATCCAAAACTGAGTCGGCATGATCATTCCTAATTGAAGCGGTTATTTCTCATTTATCTTACAGATTTCTTGTTGATTGTGGTTTAAGTGGTCCTATTCCAGATGAAATAGGATCACTTAAGGAGCTGGTCTTCTTGTAAGGACTTCTCAATCTACCAGTATATTCATGTGAAAATTATTTTGTTATCTTTATCCTAAAATGACATTGCAAGTTAATTTAAATCTATTCCTCTTATATTCTGCGGCATGGTTCCTCCTAATATCATGCATCCTTCATTAATATTGAAATCATATCATGTTGCAGCATCCTTCATTAAGTTAACTAGTTCCTTTTAATGGCAGATCTTTAAATTCGAACTGCTTTAGTGGACGAATTCCGGCTTCTATTGGGAATCTATCAAAACTTAATTGGTTAGATATAGCTGACAATGAGCTTGAAGGACCAATTCCAATATCAAGCGGTGGTGCACCTGGCCTTGATATGCTTATCAGTACCAAACACTTGTATGTCCACTCTCTTATGTAATTGTTTGCCTTTACCCCTTTTTCTCAAACAATTATTTGGTTTGTGTGTGATAACGTTTGTCTTACATATATTTCCATTAATTTACAGTCATTTTGGGAAGAATAAGCTTTCAGGTACAATTCCACCACAACTTTTTAGCTCCGAAATGGCTCTTATACATGTGTAAGACCAGTCCTTATATTTTTCATCCAACTACATATTTTTATATTCTTTTACATAATCTTTTTTATCTTTATTTTATCATATAATCTATCATATCTTTATTTCTTTCTATCTTTCTGTTCCCATCATCTATTGCACACCCATTTAATAAATGTCAATAGATAATTTTTCCTCATCTACAGTCTGTCCATATAATTGAACGGGATGAGGACGTAAGTAGTTATACACATTTACGACACGGTTCTATTTATACAAAACTTTTGCTGCAATAAAGCACTTGTCAGTCCACACTCTTGACTGGGGTGAAAATACCATTTCAATCCTTAAAACATTGAAATATTTATTACAATTGTCTTTGAAAAATTACCATTTCTGTCCCTAGAAAATGAAAAAAATTAATCGATTTAATATTTTTAACTAACATTTAATTAATTGATACTTTAATATTTTTATTAAAGTTGAAAATGGTAATTTCCATTGGTTAACTAATGTAATTGATACCAAAATGATATTTCACTTGACTAACATTAGTTTTCTTTCTACTGTCTTTCTATAGAATTTTTTTTAATTACTATTAGTTTCTTTTGTTTTTTAGACAGTGGAGCCCCCCTCTATTAAGTTTGCATAGGTCCAGAGATTTGAGGGCTAATCATAGGCCAACTGTAGGTCAAAGCTCATATATTTAACTTAGCTAAAATTTAATTTTTTAAATTAAATAGATTTTAAATAAATAAATTTGACTTGATTCAAATCACATGTTGCCTATGTTCTTGATAAACAACCTAACCTATTACCATTCATGGGTAATTCAAATTAGGTAAGAAAGAGGAGAGGTTTTGTGAAATTTTTTTTACTTGTGGTCCTACATGTGTTTATCAAATTTTAGCATTCAGTTAAATAAAAAAGAAAAATGTGGTGAGTGGATGAATAACAATAAAATACTTTTCTAACCAACCTAATTAATAAAATTGTCTTTTTTATTCACATTAGCAACTATATAAATAGATAATTGTCTGACTCTAAAGTTACATAAACAGTATATCTATCTACGTGAATATTTTTTGAGGCAGGCTTTTTGAAAACAATGAATTTGAGGGCAACATTCCTTCAACTCTGGGACTGGTTCAGAGTCTGGAAGTGGTGTAAGTGTCTATAGCATATCCTATATTACATATTATAACTCCTCTTTGGCTCAAATATCATGCTGTGGCTACAGGCGCCTTGATAACAATATGTTAAGCGGACATGTGCCTCTCAACATCAACAATCTTACCAATGTTTATGAGCTGTAAGGATACCAAATAACATGCCAGAAAATGCTACCTATTTTCCTATGCTGTTGCTAACTGTTGCAAAAGTTTTCAAGTTTTTTTTTGTTCCCGCCAGGTACTTGCTCAACAATAAGTTGTCAGGCCCCCTTCCAAACCTTGAGGGAATGAACCAACTCATCTACCTGTAATTACTAACTCATGATTATATCATCATCCCCATTATTATTGTTACTATTATGATGATGGTGATGTTGTTGTTACATCATAATGATGATTATTATGATTTAATTTTGTCATTCAAAGTATGTGTTGTTTTTAAAAGAATGAGCAAATATACAAAATCTATTTTGAAGGGATATGAGTAACAATAGCTTTGATGCATCGGATTTTCCAGCATGGATTTCTAGTCTTAATTCTCTGACAACACTGTAAGTCTTTTTCTACGCACTGATTTCACCAAGTTGTCTCAAGTGTCAACGCTTAAACGCAGCTGTTTTTCATGACAGAAGGATAGAAGATGCAGGAATTCAAGGGCAGATTCCTGATTCTTTATTTAGCCTTTCAAAGTTAAAGAACGTGTGTGTACCTACCAACTATCTCTTTTGACTTTCCACATTCCAATACAATAGATGACAATTCATGCTAAAAAATTAAAAGAATCTAAACCCAAGAAGCTAATTCTTGTTTTTCTTTTATTATTGTGAATTCGGGACCAAAATATGAATGTTTTGACGTGTGATCATAGGATGCTACAAGACAATAGAATAAATGGAACTTTGGACATTGGGAACACCTACAGCAAGCAGTTACAACTTATTGATTTGCAGAATAATGAAATTGACGACTTCAAGCAACAAGATTTGGTAATCTCCGGGCTCAAAATAATGTAAGCCAGTAAGCCATCATTGTTACTAAGTGATTTGCTTACATTTAAGAAATTCAAATTTACGAAATCTTGATGGTAACTGAAGACAATTTTACATTCAGACTTGCCCATAACCCAATTTGTGAGGAATCAGGAGTGACAAAGAGTTACTGCTCCATCCCAGGACTCAGTACACCATTTACCAAAACAAAGAATTGCCAACCTGCCACCTGCAGTTCAGATCAGGTTTTCAGTGCCCATTGCAAATGCTCATATCCGTATACAGGAGCTTTAAGGTTCAGAACACCTTCTTTCTGGGACTGGGAAAATGAAACTTCCCTCCAGGAAGATCTTATGCATACTTTTCAGACTTGTGGTCTACCAGTGGATTCAATTTCTCTGAGCACTCGTAGTAAACACCCATCTCAGTATCTTGAATTCACCTTACAAATCTTCCCATCAAGCCATGATCATTTCAATCAAACAGAGATTTTGAGCATAAGTTCGGTACTAAGCAACCTGACTTCAGAGGCGTTTTACTTTTTCCCTGATGAATATGGACATTATGGTAAGCTGGTAACTATTTTCCACCTGTTAGATTAATGGTTGTTATTTCTCCATGATAACATAGTTAGTCCTTTTTGTCTCTTGCAACCTCATCATTTAGAAGAACCCAATGAGGCAAGTAAATCATCAAAATCTGGCATCATAGTTGGAGCAGCAGCTGGTGGTGGTTCTGCCCTGCTTGTGTTACTACTCCTCTTAGGTGGTTATGCTTTCTGGCAAAAGAAAAGGGCGGAAAAAGCAATCCAACAAAATAATCCATTTGGTAAGATAAATAAATTATGTACGTAGCTTCTGCTGTTACGTGGAATCCAAGTTTGCTTAATGCTCAGTTCCATACATTGCAGGACGTGGGGACCCAAGTGACAGCAATAGTATCATCCCTCAGTTAAAAGGAACAAGGAGATTCTCTTTTGAAGAGATGCAGAAATGCACCAACAAGTTTTCACACGCTAATGATATTGGATCTGGGGGATATGGAAAGGTCTTTAATATTTCTTGTTATTAAGTGCTGCGAATGTTTAGCTACGTATGAAACAAGTTTCCATATAATCATACAATTACACAATAAGTTTCCCCGGTTCAATTTGGTTTTTCATTTTCACAATATGAAAGGAACTCTTCCTTTCAAATTTTTTTTATTTGTTAGTGTGTTTGGTAAGCTTCTCAAAGTATACTTCATTATGTAATCAAGGCAAAATTATGTGCCTAAAGTTTAACAATAGAGTCTGGTGTCTGATTGTTTAATGTTCACAGGTTTATCGGGGAGTTCTACCCAATGGACAACTAATAGCCATAAAACGAGCTCAAAAAGAAACTATGCAAGGAGGGCTCCAGTTTAAAGCTGAGATTGAGCTCCTATCAAGGGTCCACCATAAGAATCTTGTTAGCCTTGTGGGGTTCTGCTTTGAGCGAGGGGAGCAAATTCTGGTGTATGAGTATGTTCCAAACGGAACTTTAAAGGATGCTATCTTAGGTAAATTATATATATTAAACCCCTTACCATTGCTGAGATTAGAGTTTATACTTTATGGTGTCTTTGTTACTCAAACATACATGATTTGATGATTAAATAAGAGGGTATGTAGGTTACTGAGCTCTTCTATTGAAGCTGCCAGTTACTTAATAGATTGTTGTGACGGCATTTTTCAAATTATCGGGCCAAGAAAATGTTACTGATCTGGATTTGATGTACTGTGCATGTGATCAATGCATGGATATCAGGAGGTAAGTTGGACTGGACTAGACGACTTAAAGTAGCACTTGATATTGCAAGGGGCTTGGATTATCTTCATGAACGTGTCAATCCTCCTATCATCCATAGGGACATCAAATCAAGCAACATTTTGCTGGACGAGCGCTTGAATGCTAAAGTTGGTGATTTTGGGCTTTCCAAGCCTATGGTTGATTTTGAAAAGGATCATGTTACCACTCAAGTAAAAGGGACGATGGTTGGTACATTATCTGTTACACTATTACCCAAAAAAACACAATTGCATCGAATTTCAACAAATGGATGTACAATATGATTGACTTCATGTTTGCATTTTCATTAAAAAAAACTCATTAAGTAGTAAATTAATTATATTATTCTTACAAAATACCATTGGCTTTGAGAATTTCAACAAATTATGTATACAGAATGAGAATAGCATTATCTATGTAGGCACATACATAACAATGCACTTTCTGTGATGATAAATTATATAAATCTAAACGAGAACCAACTTATTTTCTTGATGTAGGGATACATGGACCCAGAGTATTATACAAGTCAGCACTTGACAGAGAAGAGTGATGTTTATAGCTATGGAGTGCTAATGTTGGAGTTGATAACAGCAAGGAGACCAATAGAACGAGGAAATTATATTGTGAAGGTGGTTAGGAATGAAATTGATAAGACGAAATACTTATATGGGCTTGAGAAAATTCTGGACCCAAACATTGGTCCAGGGTCAACATTAAAAGGTTTTGAGATGTTTGTGGATCTTGCAATGGAGTGTCTTGAAGATTCACGTGATGACAGGCCTACAATGAATGATGTGTTAAAAGAAATCGAAACTGTGTTGCTGTCAATTGGGTTGAACTGCTCAGTTGAATCAACTTCATCTAACTATGACGAGGTAAGTGTCCAATTCTCACCATCCCAACAACATTGAGTATCTTGCTTCAAGTGGCTTACTTCATCTATAATTGAGCCTAAGGTGTTGGATTTTGTTACAAAGTATAGCCGAACATGGTATAGATTGGGTTGTATATTAAATCCTTGAGGCTTCTGTTAATATTTATAACTTACCAATGTTTTTGTTACATACAGTAAATATTACTTTGGAATTTATAAGGAAATGGTTTGTGTTTTGGGTTTGCTATTTCCTAGTTTTATGACAAGTGTTGTTGATTGATAAACTTTTTAATAAGTGCACCAAATTGATAAAGTAACAAAATAGAATTATCTTTCACAGATATTAATATTAAGTGTCAAATCACAAGAATATTATTAGTTAGGTAAAAAAGATAGTTATAATATAAATTGAAAAATTAAATAAAGTGCAGAATAAAAAAACATAAATGCTGGAAAACTATAATTAACTATGAAAATGACATTTCAGATGTAAAGAGCTAAGTAATAATGAAACTAAATTATAGTATATGACTAAAGAAAATAATGAAATTGAGTTGTAAACTAACCAAAAGGTGAGTTGAGTTTAGAATTCCTTATCCTTTTTTTCTTGCATAAAATATGTGTTTAATCCAAAATATAACTTAATCTAATGGTCAAATTTCTAAAATATCCAACCCCAATTAGTTGGTTAATTAATTTTAAAAAGCATTTAGCTTCATAATCCCTTAAATAAAACTAAAAATGTTAAACATTAAGATTAAACTCAAATAACCATATCATTATAAACTTCTATTTCTAGATAATTTATAATAAACATTTTGATATTTGTTTAAGAAAGTTCACAACTTTCGAGTAATAAACTCCTTTTCATCAACTTCAATTCAGTAACGTAAAATAGAGAAACATTAAGTTAAGAATCAAAATGTTAGGTTAAAGTTTATATCTTGAGTTACATTCAATGCTTAGTTCATTGCAATGGGTAAAAGAATAAGTTCATCATTCCTCAACCCCAAGAAAATTAGCAAGATATAATAATAATAAAAAGAAAGAAACTGAAATACATTATAGTAAATGAAATCATGTTCAACATAAATAACTTAAAGCAGAATATAAAATGTAAAAAACTATAGTTCCATTACAAATTAAGAAGAAAGAAGGGATATAATCTAACTTCTCATCAAAATTCTATAACAAGAAAGGAAAAAAAAATACTTTAGCTGACATTTCCACAAAGAATTGTACAAAAATATAAAGTTTTGTACTCTGAAAATGTAATAAAAGGCAAAATAAATATGCTATCTTTTTTTAAAAATTATACTTTTATATACTTTGTCAGCATTTGTCCTCACAATTGTGTCTTGCAGAAATACAACTCTAAAATTTAATTGCCAATATTTTTCTCATTTTTTCAAAATTTAAATGTTAGTTATTAATATGTGAATAATTAATCAATTTTTCAGTAATTATAACCTTTCATTAATTTTTTTAATTAATTGTATTAATTTATAATTTTAATTTAATAAAAAAATCAAAAATATTTAATTTTTTATATGAGTCAATGACTCATCATTGATCTTAGTCTTTTTAAGTAAGTAATTTGGATGGCGAAATGAGAAAAGAAAGACAAGATGTAAGAAGCAGTAATTAGTGCTCTCTTTTTGACACATTTGTATATGTTCTTTAACAACTTTATCTAAAGTGGCATTTAACAATTCTACGGGTAATAAATTATATAGACGTTGATAAAATCAAAAGGTAGTTTTCGGCATGTGTTTGATCTGATGTTCTACTTTTTATTCTTCAGAATAAATTTTAAAATTATTAAACGTATTTGTTAGTTTGACTTGATAGGTAATAGTCAACGTCCATATACAATAGTTGGGTTTTATAATTTCTCATGTTATTTGAATATTTTCTCCATTCATTATATTTTGTTGTTAACCATTTTTCACATAAATTAATAATACTTTAATTCATATACTAGGCAGAAAAATCGTCCGAAATGCTATCATTTAACGTCAGGTAAGAAGAAAAGATAGGTAAAAGTATGAGATAATAAATTAAATAATTTTTTAATTTATATTAACAAGTTAAAAATAATATTTTTTTTATTAAAAAATGAGAATATTTATTATTTTAAAATCATAAATAACATTTAATGCATACTTTAATAGTAATTTAAAATATCTAATAATTTGTTTAATATGTACAACATTAAACATGATACTAAATTATGTTAATATAAAGTTATTCAATGAATTATTAAATATTTTTATAATTATATAAATTTTTTAAACTTATTTATTTAATATGAATTTTTTATTTATTTAATGTTCAAAAAATTATTAAGTAGGGTAAATATTTAATTCTTATTTAATATAATAAAATGTTTACTCAAAGTTAATTGATTGAATAATATCTGTCAAACGCATGAATTTTTTAATATTTTAAAGTTAATAATTTTAAAAAATAACTAATTTATAATATAAAATATTTAATTATTTTACAGTGTTATAATTATTATTTTCATTGAATATTTGTTTCATTACTTTTGTTTTATTTATTCACTTTTATAATAAGTTTAAATAATATTCTAAAATATTTAAATGTAAAAATAATTTAATTAAGTTATACATGTTTTCAGCAAGTTTATTCTAGATTTTAAATTTAATTCATTTAAGTAAATAATACAAATTAAAATTATATATTTTTTTAGAGATATCAGTAGAATCTGACTTGAGTAAGTAGTGGTTCTCCCACATCCGTGTCTATTTATATTAACACAAATTAATGAATATATGCAGATATTTATATTTTTAAAAATCATAAAAATTGTTAACATCATATAGATATATAAGGTTGTGTTATGGGTACATCATATAATATCATTATAGATTTATTTATTAAAATAATTAATTATAAATAGTGAAAAATAATTTTATCTCATTTTAAAATAATAAAAAAAGTATAGCATATTTAATATAAGTTAATTTAAATATACAGTAAAAAATAGTATTATCCAATTATAAACTGTTATATCAATAAGCATACTTAATTTTTTTTCACTGTTCTTACTGTTTTTTCACAAACCAAATCGTAATTTGAGTGCTGCATTAAGCATTAAACTGAATTTAATGCTGGCATAAATGCTGAGAATCAGTAAAGAGATGAGGTTGAGCATTCAAAGCTTAGCAAGATGACTACGTCAACGATTCCAGTAGCTATCTAACTTAGCTAACGAATTCAATGCCTTCTAGCCCACGCTGACAGTGACAAGTATGGTGAGTCTATTAATACCTTCACTTTTTCTTTCAACCATCACATGTTTTGCTATCTTTCTCCTGTTCTTACAATGGGACAAGGCAAATGTTGATACTACATTTTAAACTTTCATTAAAAAATGTTATTTGCGTTCAATTATCATCTTTTTATGCACTCTCAGTTTCATTTTCAATAAAATAAAAATTAAATTTAAATCATTATACGTATGCATTAAATTAATATTTTATTTAAATTTTTTATCTAATATCCTTAATGCACTGGTTAACTTTTATTAAAAGCTTGTTTTTCCTTGACTGATACTCCGTAACGAGACTTAAATTATTTAGACTTTTTTCTTCGTTTCAAAATTATTGTCACTTTATTAGAAATTCAAGGCTTGGTCATTTTTTGTCCATCTATATCTTCATTTAATAATTGTATAGATAATAAATTTAAAATTATGTCAACTAATTAAATAAAATAAGAGAGGACTAAAAATGGGTATTTTGATCAACGTATAATAAAATTCTACAGTAATTTATGAGCAACTCTGATGTACGTAAGTCAACCTGAGTGAATGTATCTGATACTAAATGTGACAGGAACTTGGGAGAAAAATCTTTAATGTCCAGTTCATCATTTCTTGACTTTTCCTTCTACTCTTTTAGCTTATTGTTGACTCCAATTTTGATGCATATTGAGTCAATTTGGTTGGAAGGCGGATAGGAAAGGATTTTATTTATTCAACATAGCTAAGTTATCAGAGTAGTGAGGTCTTTGAGAGTTATTTTATGTTAATAATGAGTGAAAGAATATTAGTAGTTCTGCTGCTTGTTTTTAATTATTTGTTGGTTGCAGAAGGAGAAACAGCTAATGAGGATTGTGAGTTCAGTTTTCTATCTATATTTGATCCTTTTCTTGACATGTGAAGTGCCATGTTTATTATAATGTTCTTTTATTAAAATGTTTATAATCTGTAGAACTAAGCTTAAGTAAGTTCAAAACCAGAAGCACCGAACCTGCTTTAGTTGGTAGAACTAGAAAACATAGAGAGGTTTAAGATGAACCAACTTTGTGTCTAGCAAGTTTTAGAATAAGTTTTTCAGTATTAATTATTTCTTCTGCACGTATTTGAGAGCAATCAAAAGTTGGGGAACTCCATGTATAAGATTTCAAAGATTGAATTATATTCTTAATAATTTGTCGCTGTAATTTCTAATGCAGTGACCACCCTTTTGTCTCTTATGGATAACTTGAAGAACACCCCTAATAGTTGGGTGGGTTCAGATCCTTGTAATGATTGGGATGGAATTAAGTGCGAGGATTCACGTGTTACATCGATGTAGTGATTCTTACTATGTGCTCAAATTGTTGTTCCCTTCTCCTGAATTTACGTTTGAGAGATTAACTTGTTTGCTAGTATTTCAGAACATTATCAAGCATTGGTTTGGCTGGCCAGCTTTCTGGAGATATTGGATCCCTATCTGAATTGGAGATTTTGTAAGTATGCTATTTTAAGAATGTAATCTTAATTGGAGACTTTGTATGTATGTTATTTGTTATCGTTTGACCTCTTTTTCACTTCTTGAATTTTCTTTTTCTGCCTGAAATAATTACTGGTTTTTCTCTTATAGAGATCTATCTAACAACAAGGACTTAACTGGGACGCTTCCACAAACAATTGGAGAGTTGACCAAGCTGTCAACCTTGTAATGCATTACTATGGATTGGTGAACTAGTAACACAAATCTTAATTAGTGCTGATAAAACAATTCTGACACTACATATGCTTTCTCATTTGTCAACAGAATTCTAGTTGGTTGTAACTTCAATGGTCTTATTCCGGACAGCATAGGAAAACTGCAGGAACTCCTTTCTTGTAAGAATGGATTCATGTTTTATTTGTATTGAATTTTCTACTTTCTACCAGAGGCTTCTGACATATCACTAAGGCATCTTTATCTTTAGCTTTTGTAATGCAATGATATACCTTGGATCATAGTCTAAATCATTCACATTGAATTGCAGATCTTTAAATTCCAATAGCTTTAGTGGAAATATTCCAAATTCCATTGGTAACCTATCAAAGCTTTCTTGGTTGGATTTAGCTGAGAATCAGCTTGAAGGGCCCATCCCAGTATCTAGTGGAAGCATATCTGGTCTTGATAAGTTACACCATGCCAAGCATTTGTAAGTCAAAGTTGGCTTAATAATGTTATCTAAATATGATTTGCTTTGTACTCAACAAAATCCATCAACATGTTTCCATCATATACAGTCATCTTGGGAAGAATAATCTCTCAGGCAGTATTCCTCCTCAACTTTTTAGCGGGGAAATGGCTCTCATTCATGTGTAAGAACCGTTTTAACATTGAATTTAAACAATATAATTGAACAAGTGTAGCATGTATTGCATAGAAAAATTGGTACAAGCTTCTACAATAATGAAGTGCTCTTGCAACTATGAATGCCAACGGTTATAGTATCGTATGGGATATCAACAAAAATATATCCCTAACAAGATAATGACCGCTCAATAGTACTCTCTCTATATATACAGACCTATATAATTTATAATTTGGATTTTAATATATTAATATTGGAAGTTCTTACTATATTTATATTTTTAGTTTGAAAATTAAATTTTACTTATCTGAACTAGGAGCAATGGAGAAAGATACAGAGCTTTAAGTATCTAGTGAATATGGAAACGTGGATCACGTTGCTGTAGTGCTGTTTAGGGAAGCATGATAATAGGAATTGATACTGTTACTCTGTCCATTGTCATCTTTGCTTGTCACAGGCTTATGATTCAACATATTTTTACCTATTTTTCTGCTAGACCATTCTTACTATAGTTTAATTTTGGATAAATTTCTTAATAAGTATTTATTGAAGTAAAAATTTAGTAGTGAAATGAATTATAAGTTCAAATTAACTTATATTTCTTAGAAACTATTTCATTTAATTTTTTTAAACTTTGAGAAGCATAAATTAATTTCATCTTATAAAAAAATTATTCATTTTTTTATATTAATTTTCTTTTTCTATAATTACTTGTGAAGAAGCTTACCCCTAAATGGACCTATGTAAATTATGTTGAATTATCTAGCTTTATTTTTGTAAACTATGTAAATGCTTTTGTAAAGCCTTCCATGTTAAAATATATAACTGTCAATCTGAAAATCATTTTGGGCAGGCTATTGGAAAGTAATAAACTCACTGGCAACATTCCAGATACACTTGGACTAGTTCAGAGTCTGGAGGTGGTGTAAGTGTCTATATTAATCCTCAAACAAGATTAATGACTTTTTTCTGCTTCTACCATTAATATTCTGTTGTTGGTATAGGCGTTTAGATCGTAATTCATTAAGCGGAACTGTGCCTCCAAACATCAACAATCTTACGAATGTTCAAGATCTGTAAGCAAACATAAAGAACTTGTCAAACAACATTACGTTTTATCATATGCATACTTTTACTGGAAAAGTGTAACTTTTTTGGCTTTAACTCATCCATTTCAGGTACTTGTCCAACAATAAGCTGTTTGGTTCCCTGCCAAACCTTACTGGAATGAATGCTCTCAGCTACCTGTAATTTGCAAAGCATTCAGCTATGATAATTATACTTTTTTTTTCTGTTATTATGGTTTGTACCCTCTGTCATTCATATTCACAGATACTTTGTAATAATGAGTAACTTTTTTAATCTATTTTGAAGGGACATGAGCAACAATAGTTTTAAGCATTTGGATTTTCCAGAATGGTTTTCAACTCTCAAGTCCTTAACAACATTGTACGTCTTTCATTGTGCACTTCTTTGACCTTTCACTACTCTCTCTCTCTCTCTCTCTCTTTCTGATTTCAAGACTTGAGTTCAGTTACACAGATAGCTCTTGTTTATCATGTCAGAAAAATGGAGAGAACACAACTTCAAGGACAGGTTCCAACTTCTTTGTTTAGTCTCGTCAGTTTACAGACTCTGTAAGTACACCCGTCTTGATGAGCGAGAGTTCCTTTATAATGGATAATGAGGACTGAGAATTCATGCTCAACAGTAGAGTCCTGTGAATTCTGAACTCAAATGCAAATAGTTATACGTAGTGGTCCTTGAAACGGTAATATCTAACATTTGTATCCTAACATCTGATCATAGGGTGCTAAAAGACAACAAAATAAACGGAACCTTGTATATCGGCTCCTCCTACAGCAACCAGCTCCGACTTATTGATCTGGAGACTAATTCAGTTGACAACTTTATGCAAAAAGATGTAGCTTCAAACGTCAAGATAATGTAAGTCATACGTTGTAATGATTGCTGCATTTTTTTGTATGTCATAGCATAGAATTGTTAATTTGGTGGTTTTAACGTGTTTCTTTTGTATGCAGTAGTAGATTTAAGAATTGCACCTTTGGTTTAACTGCACTTTTACTTGCAGACTTAAAGATAACCCAATTTGCCTAGAAACTGGAGAAGGAGCGAGCTACTGCTCCAATATTCAACCTGGTGCCTCATACACAACACCACCAAATAACTGCCAGCCTGGTCCCTGCAGTTCAGAACAGATTTCTAGTCCCAACTGTGTATGCGCATATCCATACACGGGAACCTTTGCTTTCAGAGCACCTTCCTTTTCAGATCTAGATAACAAAACTTACTACTTAATGCTTGAGGATTCTCTTATGAAGTCTTTTAAGTCTCATTATCTACCAGTGGATTCGGTTTCGTTGAGTCATCCAACTAAGGATTCAAATCAGTATCTTAAATTGAATTTACAAGTCTTCCCATCAGGACAAGATCATTTCAATCAAACAGGGGCTTTTATCATTGGTTTTCTGATAGGCAACCAAACTTTTAAGCCTCCTAAAGTTTTTGGACCATTTTATTTTATTGCAGATAAATATGCACACTTTGGTATATATTTCTTTAACTCACAGTTATAATAAAATTGATTGTACTAAATTCCACTTAAGATAATCTTTTTCTCTTCCTTTCTTATTTTGTGTAAGAATCGATGGAGTCGAGTAAATCTTCAATTAACATTGGAATCATAATTGGAGCAGCAGTTGGTGGTTCAGTCCTGCTACTGTTATTACTCCTAGCAGGTGTTTATGCCTTCCGACAGAAGAAAAGGGCTGAAAAAGCTATTGATCAAAGCAATCCTTTCAGTAAGATAACTCTTTAGTTAGCAGTTAGCTCTGGCATTCTATTCACGCACATGCTACTGAGGTAATTTACATTGTTAAACTTCACAAAATGCAGGACGCTGGGATACAGCTGAGAGCAACAGTGGCATCCCTCAGTTGAAAGAAGCCAGGATGTTTTCATTTGAAGAGCTTAAAAAATACACCAAAAGTTTTTCTCAAGCCAATGATATTGGATCTGGGGGTTTTGGGAAGGTCTTGAATGTTAATTTTAAGCTAAAATGCGCTAATTTGATCTAGGTGTTTAGCTACATGCATGTTTAAAAAACTTCATTTTTATGTGTTTGTCATCAACGAAGTTGTTTCTTTTTTCAATTTTTTCAATGAAAACTATTTTTAGATATTCCGTTAGTCATGCGCTTGTTATGCAAACATTTCATTGTAAAAAAAAAACTTAGTATGATAGCACAATTATCCACTAAAATAAGAGCAGTCCTACTATCCATGCATTTGGTGAATGAGACTGCCCCGGTTTTAGTAATCACTAGTCACTTGGAAAGATATATGAACATCATAGTATTAGAAACTTTAACATAGTTTCACGTATGTTTATAATATGTAAACCAACTTGCTAATGTTTAAATGTCTACAGGTTTATAAGGGAACCCTTCCCAATGGACAACTGGTAGCAATAAAACGAGCTCAGAAAGAATCCATGCAAGGAAAGCTTGAGTTTAAAGCTGAGATTGAGCTCCTATCAAGGGTAAATCACAAGAATCTGGTCACTCTTTTGGGGTTCTGCTTTGAACAAGGAGAACAAATGCTAATTTATGAGTATGTTCCAAATGGATCTTTAAAGGATACTCTCTTAGGTACTATGTCCACTCCACCTGTTTACCTTCAGCAAAATTTAGTCCAATATTTTCATACTGCTTCATTACTGCACCTGAACTACACCTTGCCAATTAGCATCTTTCTTCTATAATATTCAATTCTATTACTCATTCATACCTGCATGACATGTGTCAGATATTGCTTTCTTTCCAGCATCTCTCTTATACTACAATTGGACCTACAGAAAAGTCTATTGAGTATATATGTGGTGTATATGCAGGGAAGTCAGGAATTAGATTGGATTGGATTGGAAGGCTAAAAGTTGCCCTTGGCACTGCCCGGGGTTTGGCTTATCTTCACGAACTTGTCAATCCTCCGATCATACACAGGGACATCAAATCAAATAATATTTTGTTGGATGAGCGCCTAAATGCTAAAGTTGCTGATTTTGGTCTCTCCAAATCTATGGTTGATTGCGAAAAAGATCATGTTACCACTCAAGTTAAAGGAACAATGGTTAGTATAGTAACTTCTAAACCTTTACAGTTTACCTAGTAAAATGTGACAAATTTTAATTTGGCTGAAAAAAGTGAGATTATTAGTAATTACTAAGGAGAAAGTGACCTTGTTTTACTAAAAGGTTAAGGTTGAATGTGATTGTTTGGAGTGGCGAAAATTATATGTATTCAAGAAAATGGTATAAATAAAAAACTTGAATGCTGAGAATGGATGGTCATGATTTTGATGTAGGGTTACTTGGATCCAGAGTATTATATGTCTCAACAATTGACTGAGAAGAGTGATGTGTATAGCTTTGGAGTGCTAATGTTGGAGCTGATATCTGCAAGAAGGCCAATAGAAAAAGGGAAGTATATTGTGAAAGAGGTGAGGAAAGCACTTGATAAGACAAAAGAGTTATATGGTCTTCACGAAACAATTGACCCAAAAATTGGTTTAGCATCCCCAGTGAGTGGTTTTGAGAAGTTTGTGGATATGACCATGAAATGTGTTGAAGAGTCAGGTGCTGACAGGCCTAAAATGAGTGAAGTGGTAAGAGAAATCGAAAACATATTGAAGTTAGCTGGTTCAAACCCCACCGATGAATCACCATTCATCTCTTCTAGTTACGAGGATGTAAGCCGAGGCAGTTCCAGCCATCCTTATAATAGCAACGACTCCTTTGATTTGAGTGCAGGACTTCCATGTCGCTAGGAGTACATGCAATCAAACTCAAGTATATTTTGTTTGCTTAAATCCTTCATAAATGTTGATCCTCTGTATACATATATGTATGTAGCTGTTATAGCCTTAGAATGACATGGTCCCCACTTTCAAGTTCTTCATTGTGAGCTTCGTTTCCCATGTCTTGTTCATCTCAAATGGGGTCAGAAGAGAAACCATCGAAGTGGTGGAAGGCTAGAGGCGCAATGGTGAACAGTGTTTATGTAATTTTAAGGACAGTGAAAAGAAAATTAATGTTGCGATACACATTCAAGGAAGAGATAAATTGCATGTGTTTCTTTTTATTATCTGTGTACTTTAAAAATTAAAAAAACACAGAATCAGAAATGTCATCAATCAATATTCTTATTTATATCAGCTTCCTAATATAATGTTTATTACTATTATTTATTTGTGACAAGTATAAAAAATATTTTAAAAAATGCGTAAAAATAAAAACATAATTGAAAATTAATATTTTTATTGTTTGTTTGCATATGTAATATTTGACTTAATCCTAATTTTTTCACATTGTAAATTTTACACACCAGTAAAATGAGTTATTTGTTCCATTTGAGCTGATCTGTCTTTCATGTGTTGCCTTAAAAAAATTGAGTTCAATTTATCAGCTCTACACTTATTATATCTGTTGTTTTTTTCTTATTATATTACTCATTTATTGTTATCTTTATTTTATATATATATATATACACACAAGCGTGGTCAACTATTTTTAAGCATTCAGTGCCTTATTATAGCACAGTGTGTATCTCAATGACTCAGTTCTCACCCTACTCGCTTACTCGCTCACGTATAATTAATTTATATAAATTAGCCATAAATTATTAATTGGATCCCATAAGAGCTAGATTAGGCTCATTGATTACTTTATTTATTGGCTAGCAACTATGAAATATAATTAAATTCCTTTGACTAAACAGTTTTACGCTCACGATCGATTTCGGAATTATTGTTTGCTGAATCAAGTGGTTGAGTTTACTTTTCTCCTTATTTAAAAAATAATCTTGGTGAGGTGTCTTTATATTCTTTGTTTGGGATCAAATCCTGAACGAGTTTATAACTTTGTTGTAAACTTTTGTGTGTTTATATCAATGTAATTTTATATCTTATTAACATTTTCACTCTCAATATATATACTCATAATCAGAAAGGAAAAATAAAAAAGGTGAGGTTTCAACGTATGCACTAAACGACATGCAAGTTAGCATGTGAACATTTCAACTATAACGTATCGCATGAATGTAATTAAATGTATATTGACTCAGTGAGTTCCAAATTTTGTCCCATTTTTCTAAAAACAAAAAGGCAATAAGTAAGACTGAGGAAGCATCTATGATGATAAAATCAGAGGTAACCACTAAGCGTGAAGTTAAGTGCAAAGCATTGATAGCTACAGAACAAAGGAACGATAATGTAGCTGATTACGAATCTCTTTTTGTAAAATCTTTATATAGTAATCATAAGAATTAATGGTACATCCCAAATGGGATTACGGCTTACGGCCTTACAGGAACAGATGATCTGTATTGAAAACGAATATGGGACATATCCAACACTTTTACTTTATCTTGGTTAACTAATATCATTAGCTCCTTACCAAAGTCGCTTGTAATCAATCTTTAACTGTACTCGTTAGATAGGTACAGTTTTTAAAGTTAACCTTTTTCTATGTATTTTGTACAAAAAATTGTCTAAAAATGTTCTTTATCTGTTTCTAAACAGTTAAATATATCAGAAACCTTTGTGCAAATGCATAAAGACATGTCCTGTTAGCTTCTTTTATTTGTTCGTATAGTTATTTCCACCTTTTTATTTTAAGATTATTATTTTATGGGGACATGTTACTTTCTGTATTAATATTTATGTGACAGATATCTTTTAATTGTAATTTGTTAGACCAATAGCCTATTACTAGCTATCCTAAAAGACCTGAAGCTATAATTCACAAATGCCAATTTAATAAGATGATTAAGCAGTTAACTAATTATTACCTGATATGTAGCCTATTTTTATCATTCTTCCTTATTATCAAAAGTAAGAATTTTTCTTAATCTACTCTTTTTGTTCTTCTCAAATAATATTACTTCAATTTATCATGGATTGGCAATTAAATTTCATTGAGCTGTGTTAAATTTGTTAAGATTTTTTAAGCTAATGCTAACCCGTATCAACCTAATTAAACTCGGATTCTATACAATTAAAAGATTTACATAGAATATAAATATTAATAAAAAATAATAAAAGGTTGGTTGGAAATGAGTGAATTTGAAAACACACAATGGGAGCAATTGTCGACTATAATGCTTTATGTATTGATAGGGAACACTAAAGTAAAAGGGGGTTACGCCAATAGTGGAATCCAATTTGTAGTCCACTTGGTGAAAGCAGAAAGCAAGATGCTCTCATCTGTTAACATAGTGCTCGCTAATTCTTAAATTAAATAAAAATATTTTTAATTATTAATTAATTGGAATCATACATTTTTACTGAAATAAAAAAATTTATATAAATTGGAAAATTAATTAACAAATTATTAGATAATTTTATTTTAATGATTAATATTACTTATTAAAATATAAGTAAATGCTATTTATAAATTCTATATTTACAAATATTTAATTTATTTAAAACTTAACATGCATGCATGATCAACATAAATGTTTCATTTTGTTCAACGATTAAATGATAAAATTTAATATTTATAAAATGTTATCAAGAAAAATAAATTAATCCTTGCCCATGTATACACGTTATAAAGGTCAAGATTTATAAATACTGTGTCAACCGGGAACACTTACATTATTTAAACATCTTAAAAATAAACATATCCATTTTAAAATATCAAATACTTTTAGACATTTTCAATTGTATTTCATATATATATATATATATATTGGTACAAATAAAAATAGTAGGATAATGGATAAATATATAATACTTTATTACTTTTTATAATTTTTTTAAACAATAAGTATCTTTTACTATATTCAAATTGAAAATATTAGTTTTATATTGAGACTAATTCTTTTTAAGAAAAATTTTCATATACTAAATCCAAACTTAAAGTACTACTAATATATTATTTTAGAATATCATTTTTTTCTAATTTAAGATAATAATTTTACAATAGTATTGCCGGATTGTATAATTTTTTAAAATTTGTTTATCCATGTCCATACTTTATACTATTCCGTTTGATATTGCATTTTAAACATATCTGAATTGTGTGTCGTTTTCACCCTTTCTTTAATCCAAATTTTCCTTTTTCCGTGGCAAAGATTAATCCTTCTTGTTTTCCGTGCTCACGATTTAGCGTTTGATACCATAATATGAGAAAACAGAGCCCAAGGGCCTCTATCTTGCTGAGTTGTGATATGCTAAGTACAACCTTAAATTTTTCATTGAATGCTGAAATTTGCTCAATTAATTCTATTTATCTATAAAATAGTAGTAAGTAAATATAAATAATGGACATTAATACTATACTTGGTTACACTTGCTTGCTTTCCAACTTTACAAACTAATCAAATTTCACCTTCACTTGGACATGCTTGGGCTAATTTCCTAAGATTTTCAATGATCATAACCAGTTTTGTATTAAACCGATTGACAAAGCACTTGGGCAGCCATCCTGCAGGATCCAGCTGCAAGAAAAACAAAGGCATGAGTTAAGATCCCATTCTTGTGTTAGTGCTTGTGAAGAAACAAGAAACTAGAGCTTATGTTATTCTAAGATGAATATAAGTAATTACCTGAACAACATAAGTGACCACACATGAATTATCTTCAAGCTTCTCTACTACCCACCCTGACTGTAGCAACAATCCTCTGATTGCATTACTTTGCTTCGGATGTAACCCTGCAGCTATTTCCTTTGGCAGTGAAGCAACTGCTACCACCTATAACACCACCCGGTTAACATTTTGCTTTAATGATTTGAAAGACTCACACTTTATCAAGAGAAAATTTTGAGGTATTAAAGCAATATAAGATATGCTTTGTGCTTGATAGCATTCTTAGTATAGTACTAACCAAGGTGCCATCTTCCATGGTCTCACGGCGCTCATACACAATGAATTCTCTATTCCTGAATAGAGGCTTGGAGTTATCTCCAAACCTAAGACGAATTATGCTGAGGTTGTCTTCAAGATCCTTTATGTACCTGGCTTCCACCAGATCAGAGTCCCATTGCTGGCTTAATAAAATAGTTCAAAAGCCATGATCAGAATATAATCAAGGAACTATCTAATCAAAAGCATGAGCATGTAATGTAAAAAGAGAGGAATAAAAAAAGAAAGTAAAAGACAAGGTATTGTGCAATTTTTTGTCATTCCTATGGATGTCAGCCACAAACTAAGAATAAAAATAGGATTAAGGACAACGCTAGAGACAAAAGTTTTCTTTTCACCATGCTGGATAGGAATCTAATCCTCCTAAGCCTCCTACTTATGGTTCAGCTTTTTCTTTCTTTTCCATGAGAAAATTGATATTCACCTTTGCAGCATCAATGGCATTGGCCACAGTGATGAACTGTTGCGGAGTGACAGATCTAAGAACCCAACGGCTGCGAAACGTGTGAAGTGAGTCTGACCTTCGTTTTGATATCTCTACACCATTGTCAAGAGTAAGCACCTTCCATCCATCATTGCCATTTCCTCTGTTTGTGTCTGAAGCTGCCAATAACTCCTGTATGCAGCTCTCACTAGCAAACTGCACATACCTTCTGAGGGAGTCCTCACTAATAGACCTTTAACAAAATCACCATGAGAGTTCAGTTCAAGAACAAAGAAAATCCATTGTAACAATGAACCAAATATTCTCCTGAGGAATCAAAATGCTCAGTTAAGTTTTGGTATTCACCAGGAACGGGTGCATGGCGCAGGACTGCTGTTCATCGTGGCACTGCCCGGTATCAATTGCCTGCAAGTGTTAAATTTCTTTGTGACAATAAAACACTTGGTAAATTGAAAGGCATATATATATATATAAAAGAAGGAAAGGTTGTGCTGTGTTGTGTTGTGTGATGAGTGGCTTAAAGAGAGGTTGAGAAGTGCAAAATAATATGAAGTGGGCAGAGGTGATTGCTGCACATGCAGTGCCAGAAGAACCTTACATGATTAGAACAATAACCCTCTCTCTAGATAAAAGATAGATTCTTTTCTTCCAAAAAAGCAGCAAGAACAAGGCTAGAAAATATGATGCACATGGAGTGTTGGTGGCTTTTTGGAGTGGAACAAAAGATTAGAAAAGAAAAATATAACGAACTCACACACAAACTAATATATAACAAAGCAAATAAAAAACAAGATTAGAGCAAAGCAAGGAATTTCCATTACCATGCATAGTCTAACTAAGGAATTTTGGAGCTAGAAAAACATGTTATATGATTGTTTGAACCGTATGGTGTATGGTTATAACTTATACGATTCTAGTGAATAAAAAAGTGTATTATATTCTTATTTATTGTTCTCTCCAAAACTTTCCAATCTAAGGCCCCAGTCACGTGCCATGATAGTTGATAGTGCTGGATTGCATTTCAAACAGCAAGGCAAGCAGAACCGGTCCCAATGAACTCTTTGGCACGGTATTTGGGATTGTCCTTAGCGTAACGTTAGGTGTGGTACCAACAACTGACTTCCCATTCCATTTCAGCAAAAACTTCTTTCTACACTGCACACTCTTTGGCTTTTTTATATTATATCTAAGATTTAACCACACTTCTGTTCAATTTCACATGCTTCAAGTGTGTGGAGCAGTTGAGGACCAAAGTGGGCACCCAGTGCTCCTTTCACCAAATTAACAAAGTGACAACAACGTTACCCTATGATAAGTGATATACATGTGTACAATGTATGTGACTTTCAAAAAGACAGCTACTTTTATAACCAAAGCAAGAAATTGATCAAACTGGATTGATTATAAGCGCAGTATAATTACATCCACCTTGTGAAAAATTATAAACAAAAAATGCAATCATTATTTCTATTCAAATTGAATTCAGCCTAACTCAACCTTAATGAGGGAGGATTGTCCAAATTGTAAAGATATCTTTACACACCCCAAGATTGAAACATGAATTGACTATAACACCGGGTTAGAATTAAACTAAGCTTAAAACTTAAGACAGGAAGATTGTCCAACTCTTATAAACACTGTTATGGCATATTGACAAATCTTAACTTCATCGTACAAAGAGAAAAGACTAGTTCGCTGCAGCAAGGCCTTAATTATTTATAAGGGTCTTCGCTGCTTCAGGTTCAACTGCTGAGGGATATACACAGAATTTTGTTTCCCTGGCCTGTATGCAGTTCTTGTTAAGAGAACTAGCATACTATGACAGTGCATTAAGATTTTTTTTTTCTCCTTTTTACCCCCTTTTTTGCCTGTGAAATTCCCTTTGAGCTTCTTTTAAGACCCACTTTAATACTGACTAATGCTAGCATACTATGTATGACAAATCTTAAATCTGAACATAAATTTATATTACATCTGACAACTGTAAATTGAAATTCAAAATAGGAAACAATACCATTAAGGAGCTCCAACTTGCTTAATTAGATAAATCATCTCATTTTGTATAGATCTATATGTCCAGGTTGTCCTGTTTCCAACATGACACACATTGCCAACTGATCCTGCCTTACAATGCTTAGTAAAATTTTGAAAAAATTTATGACAAAGCAGACCATCGGACTGCTTTTCTCCAAACCAATCATTGCCATATACCATCCAAAAAAGAAGAGAACAGTGTGGGAAGGGGGAAAGAATTTTGAATATCAAGTTTAATTATTCCTTACACGATGTGTCTAAGGATACCTATCATCAAGATAATCCACTTAAAGACAATGCTCATTGGGAAAATATGAAAAGGAGATCGGTTCTTGCTTTTCATGCATCAAACCCAAAAATGTAGCACAAGTTTCAATAACTTGAAGCGGCAAAGGAAATGTTCATGGATTTAGATTCCATATCTTGTCATTTAGCCCAGAAGGTGAAGAATAAAAATGAAGATGCACATATGATATGCTAATCATACTTTTTTTTTTCCCCCCATAATTTTAAATGTATTCTCAGCCCAATTTCATTAAAAACTTTTTATTTACTAGTATTCTTAAAACATGGGTTAGCAAGAACTGTGACCCTAAAGCTATAGAACTGACACATGCTTCCCCAATGGTTACAATCACTACATTTAATCCTAAAAGGTGAAGGGTCAGATTTAAGCAAGAAAAAGTAGAGGATCATGGACTGTCTTCCACATTTCCAACCCTAATAAGCCTTAATTCTCATAAAAATCAACAACCTACTCCGTGGGGAGTTGAAGCCCAACCTCTCTCCCTTGACAAGGGGGAACAGGCCAATGGTCAATTGTAACATCACTATCTTTGAATTCTGCCAGCGCAACTACATTATTAATGTGTTACATAATACTTAGGGAAAGCTTATATAGTTCACATAACATAGCACCATGAGTCCACTCGGAACCTAGAATATGACTTTGGAACCTTGTAAGCTGTTGCCTATTTCCTACACATGGCTATTCCATATCCATCCACAGACCAGTAATGTACATCCAGCCCCACCAAGCAAAAGGTGGGACTCGGCATTATTAGACATGTTTGGACAGCCCTACAATCAATATCACAATGGGGCGAGAAAAGTAGCACTTGTGTTCAAATATCACACTAGAAGAACTAGTTCTTATCCAAATCTGGCCTGTGGGGAAGCCCAATAACTAAATAAATCATATAACATTACACATTATTTAATTGCATTTTCATTTCTTTTTAATTTAGGTTACATGTGATTTTACTTTTTCAAATATTTTAATTTAATTAAGTTTTATTTTTCAAAAGTAAGTGAACTTGGTTTTTACAAATTTTCTATTGTGTATCCCAGGCTATAATTCAATATATTGATAATATTAAATACTATAATTTTTAATAAAAATTTACTATTTATTATTGGTTATGGTGTATCATAGGTCACACATTATAAAATGATTTTTTATAGTTAAAATTTCTCAAATGTTATTAATGTATCGTCTGTGTGTAATCACATGGACATGGGTCGTGATGGTAGAGCAAACGGGCCCTGGAAAATACTCCTACTCTTATTATTGATGATGAAACCAGAGGCCCAGGCCCAGGCCATTTCAAATTGAATTGGTGCAACCCAAACCGCAGAACCACAAAAAAGAAAATAAAAGAAAACTGTTATTAATAATTATTTGAGAGGATGAGAATGGTGGTAAGGGGTGAAGTTGAATTAGGAGAATAACAAAAACAAAATGAAGAAAGAATAAGATTGATGGTGGTTAGTGGGGGCTATGAAATTGAAAACGGTTCCATCATCTTGTTGGTTAGCACTATCACTGGGATTGCCTGATTCCAATCACAATGCTGCTGCTTCTACTCATACTCACAGCCACATCCATAGACACAGCATCGTTGTGGCCAAAAGCAAGAAGCAGCGAGAGGCACAGGTTTCTTCTTCTACTTGTACTCACACTCTGCAACTTGCTCGTTATTTTATTCATTTTCAGATTTCTTAAACAGGATTCTGAATCCGCTCCTCCAAGAATCACATCAAACGTCAAGCAAAACCTCCACTTCTTAAAGCTTTGGAAGGTACCTTCATTGCCTTCTATAATTCGTAATTCCATTAAACCAACCGAACCTAACCTCGTCCTCATTTCTACTTTGTTTAATAGAACTTCCAAAAACGAAACTCTAGCACTCCCAGGCCTTCTACCAGTTACCGCAGGAAGAAGGTGGAGAAGGAGGATCTTGGTGACAGCTACAATGACCTCTATCGTGATCCCACCTCCTCCCTCTACTAGTAAGTCACTGCTACTAACACCTTTTCATGCTTCTATAATAACATTCTCTCATTCTGCTAAAATCTATATCCCACAGTACAAATCTGGAGGGCATAGACAATGCGGTCCCTGTATTGCTTGTAGATGGCTATAATGTATGTGGCTATTGGATGAAGCTCAAGAAACATTTTATGAAAGGAAGACTTGATATTGCTCGCCAAAAACTCATTGATGAGCTTGTAACCTTTAGCATGCTTAGAGGTTTCTACCTTTTACCCTATCAATCTCCGCAAGTCACTGTTGCAAGTTATTTTTTATTGTTTGATGTTGCCGTGGAATTTGGTTTCTATTGTCTGTGTTAATACATGTTTTCATTATCTGTTCAATTATACAGAGGTGAAAGTGGTTGTTGTGTTTGATGCAATGATGTCAGGACTCCCCACTCACAAGGAAAATTTTGCAGGGTACGCTTTTGGAGCTAACATACAGTTTTTGACTGCTACTTTTTGCTTTTTCATACCATTAGTTGCGAAGGACCATTTTGGTTTACCTAAATAACATTTTGCAAGAATTTGTCATGAAAATAGCCACATTTCTGTTCCCGACGGTCCTTTTACTTCATCCACTAGATGTCGCTTGTGCAAGCACTGTCTTTGGGTTCCTAGTGACCAAATTTGAGTTCCTTGGCACATTCAGCACCAGACTGTGTTTGGCTAAGAATATATCACAGGGTGAGCACCTCCTAACATGAGGAAGGTGAGGTGTTAAACACCCCAAGCCAACCGTAAGTAGTCAAACAAATTCATAGGTTGGACTGCTTGCAGAAAATTGATAATTAACCTACCGCAAGTTCATCACAAACCTGCTGTTGTGTCACACTTCAATGGCCTAAGTGACTATAATCCCTCTAAGAAGCTAGCCATGGAGGTTTACCTCCACATATCTATTTATCCTATTGAAGTCTTGTTCATTAATGAAATTAACTAGGAAAAATTGCTTTGCTAAATATGAACAATCATGTACCCCAACCAATAAAATCAAGTCTTATCCCTCTTGCAGCTACTTTAAGTATTGCATACTACAAAATGATTAATTGAACAAGCCTAAGAGCATGATAATTCCAATTAATGTTATCATGGGAGGTGTAAAGATATTCTTTCTGACTATCATTTGCTTTTAACTGTTGTGACAAAATATCTGTCTTGTAACATTTCATTTTACATTTTAAAATTATTCTTAGCTCCAAACTTGTAGTTTGGCCATTTTGCAGTGTTGATGTTGTTTTCTCTGGTGAAACATGTGCTGATACGTGGATTGAAAAAGAGGTTAGATATAGTTCCTATAGGTTGCTATAGTTCCCATATGCAATCTTACTATGATTTATTATCATGGTTTTTTGGAGAGTTTCTTCTATAGAAATATGAATTTTACTGTCTTTGACATGCTAGGAGTGCACATCGGTAAACGACTTAATTAAATACTTATTTAATAAGTTCTTATCAAATAAAAATTTATTTAAAAGTTTGACTGTGAAACTTAATAGAATAAGTTAAAAAGAGCTTATTTTGGTAAGTTATTCACATGAATCTCATTGAAATAAACTGTAAAAAATTTATAAGAATGTCCTAAGCCCACTTCTATAAGCTCAAATAAACTCTTTCAAACATCCTCTAGATCTATGGCTATTCAAGTGGGATTTTGTTTTTCAAATTTTCTTTTGATCCTGCTTCCAGATATACTAGAATCTCCTGCTCCGCTTGCTTTTAAATGTGAAATTCAAACAGTGATTAAAATGTAGCATCTAAAGTCCCAGTATGTAAAATAAGATTATTTCCTGCACAGGTGGACCTTGAATTGTAATGATGTGAGGCATGTAACTTTACAGTGTTTTAATGAGAGAATCAAGGTCATCCCCTTAAATCAATTATAATACAGTGCTTCACTTTTACTTTCATTAAGTGAATCTTCTTGCACTGAAATTGACACTACCAACAGAGAATTGCCTCATCTTTATGAACATACATCTTTCATTTCCTCTTATTCTTTGAATGGAACTTAACAGTGATATTCTATACTGATTTTAGGTTTCAGCTTTAAGGGAGGATGGTTGCCCCAAAGTCTGGGTTGTCACTTCTGATCACTGTCAGCAGCACGCAGCACATGGAGCAGTATGCATCCTTCCAATAAATTGAAAACTTGAGTGATATAGAAAGAAGCAACTTGATTGTCGATTATCTTCTCAATTCTTTTCCAGTTATTAGTATTAAACTTGGCAAGCTATTTAATTTCTGCATAAAAAAAAATTCTCATTCTCGGATATTATCATGATTTTTTAAATGCTGATAAATACCATCACCCAAATATAAAGTAACAATATCTGTATTATGCTCTGATTTTGGTGCAAAAGATTTACACAGTCACTTACTTTCAGGGAGCCTTTGTCTGGAATTGCAAGGCATTGGTTACTGAGGTAAAACATTAATTTGAGGCAGAATTGTTCTGTATGCTTTCCCCTCCTAAATTTTTTCTTATATTGTCTGGTTTACTTTTCACATTTAAAATCCCAGGTTTTCCGATGGAGTATTAGATTTAATAGTGTAAAATACATAACTTAAAATTACATAAACAAGCAATTAAACTGGTTCATAAATCCTAATATTTGATTACTTTGACAAGCCTGGTGAATTTTTATGTCCTTCAATGATATTTTACATGGTCTTGTTTATTATTAATTTTTTGGGTAATAGATCAAGGCATCACAAAAGGAGGTTGAAAGGATGCTTCAAGAACAAAGGTGCACCCCATCTGCAATAATCTTGAGAAATATTTATTTTTTGTCTGAAATATGGCTTGATTATGCCTTTTATGATTTTTCACAGTATGGTTTATGAGTTAGTGTATGGATACCTATGCAACTTGACATGTGATATTAATGCACTGCTAATTTATAAACCAGTATAATTTATTGTGATCTTTTGTTACAGACACAAATCTCCTTAATGAACATCTACTTATCTGAGTTTATATATAGGATCTTGCTAATTAATGCCCTTAATAAACTGGTTAAGGAATCAAAAAATAAAAAGTTTTATTGGAAAACATAGTGAGAATGCCATTCCAAATCACAGTAGGCGTGCATTTAATAAAAGCTTTCCTCTTTTAATTTCTTAACCAGTACCTTTTTTCCTTATATTTATGCTTGCATTTTAATTCTTGATGGGCTTCTTGTCCCCATGCCTCCAAATAAAAACAAATTTCCAATAAAGAAATAAAAATGAAAAGAGACCTTTAAAATTTGGATGTTTTGCATTGTTAAAATGTAGCACATTACGTTTTTGCCCTTGAATTGAATCAACTCTTCTATTGTGCAGCTTGTGTTGGTGTTATGAATACACACTACGGTATTACAATGACAGGTCTTCCTGATTGGTTTGCTTATTTGTGTTATTACGTACAGATCCACTTCTTTTCAAGGTAGATTATTGAAGCACAATCTTGATGCAGAAGTAGTGGATGCTCTGAAGAACCTGAGGCAAAAACTATCTGAAAATGAATTGAAGTAGAATATAAGGCTGAAATTCTAATCAGAGATTTTAGTTTGACAGGTAATTCTTTATATAGGTCTTAATACTTTATTTGGTGCTAGATGCTTTTCATTTTCTGGAAAATGAGCATGCATTTATATTAACAGTGACCCTTGAACCCTTCACATATTGGTTGTGGTATTTTTTGACATAATGACGAGAGCTAAACTAAGATAGACGACACTGGCTGTGTCAACCAGAATCGAAATATTGCATTCGTTCAAAGTATGTTCAGTAGATTTTTGCTCAAGAAAAGAAAATGAAAAAACACTGTACATAGGTCAAAAGTATTAATAATTCTTCTGTTTTTGTATGATTTGGAGGAAAGAATGCTACTAAACAGAGGAGCAAAACTGGTTTGGAATTAATGCTAGTATTTTATTGTTTTTATTGTCTGTAAATTAGCTTATAAGCATTTCGATATTTTTCCATGTTTCATTTATTAAAAGTCATTTAACATATTGGATCAACCATCATTGTCCAATTGATTATTAAAATGTATTTCTTAATTTTCATGTTACATTTTTATTTATATAGTATGGTAAAACTCGAACTTGTGATTTGTTGGATATGGCGAAATTAGAGCTAGATGCACTAATCATTGCATGTATGTAACTATGAATATAGTGCAATGGAGGGACCAGGTCTAGCCAATTTTTCTAGCCAATTTAATTAATTCAACTAAGTTATTTTATTTATTTCCTTTTCCCAGTGCATTTTGGAATCACTGTAGTAGAATTTAGTTAGTGGTATCAGCAGATATAATAAGGAGCTAATCAGTTTTGGGAGTCACACTTTAGCTTCAACTATTTCATCCCCCAAATATTTCATGTTCTTTACTCGCGTTACTGTTATGCTTGTGTGGAAGATTATTCTGAGCAAGTTATTTTGCTTAAAAATCAGACAAATGATTATTTTCCTATATGACGAGATCAATAACTAATTTACGGGCTACGAGAAATCTGATATCTATCACAATGGCACCATAACTATAAAGATTTACAACTACGTGTTTCGTCCAATTAATAATTTCCCGGGAAATCTGTTTTGTAGAACAAACTTTGGACAGACCCTGCTTGATAGCCAACAAGGTTGGTCAAATGTTAAAAGATCCTGCTTGATAGTCAACAAGGAAGCGCTCGTAATGATGTTCTTACAAACCAAAAAATGACGCAGCCCAGTTAATGGCCCTATTCACTGACCATTTGTTATTTGCATTTTTTATAATTATAATTCGTGATTTGCCTTCATTTGTATAAGGGAAGAGAACCAGGGAACTAAGTATATAACATTTTTTATGTTGTTTCTCCATATTTGTGGTGTAATATATATTAGTTTAAAATGTATTGTGATTTTTTAATTAGCAATAAATAAAGTGCTCCATCATTGTATTGCATAGGTGTTTATACCACACTTCGGAGTAAGCATTTGATTCATTGATAATGTAAATTTATGGTTTAATCAATTAAATATTGCTAAATTCATATAAATTTGTTCCTATGTGCATAGTATGTAATGTTTGTGGACATTTGATAGTAGATACTCATGAAACAATGGTATACTGGAGGAGGTCAAATCCATGCTTTTACTCTCAATGCTTGCAGAATCTTGTGGTAGATAGGGACAGGTGGTCACATAAAATGGCACTCGTGTCCTACACTCGCAAGTGCCAACGCTAAAGAATGAGGGCAACATTTCCTGGTCGCCTGACTAATATCCCAACACTGTATTCTCATCCTCTGCCAGCCTGTTATTGTTGTACGTTTGGTTTCGTAATTCCAAATTTACTATGATTTACGCAAAAGCTAATTCAAAGTTGTTATTTATTAGGGTTGTAAATTAATTATTATAAATGGCAAGAGTCAGTTCAACAAATAGTTTATCATTTGTTATTAATTACTGCCTCGTGTATAAACTGTGAAGTTGGTACACAGTTGTTCCTTCTCGACAGTTTTACTCAATATTTTTCGGGGTACATAATAATTTGCTTTAAAGTTTCAAAAGCAAAAAAATGTTTTTTTTTTTATCTAATTCATAGTTTAGGATTCTGTAAATGAAAACCAAACAGGCACTACAGGCAATTGCCAGCAAATAAACTTATTTTTTGTGCTGTGTTTGTTCTCTTTGATTGGCGATTGCCATTAGGTATATATATATAAGCATTAGAGTATGACATCCAATCATATAGAATTGTATAGACCTAGAATTACCTGAGAACAGATAGATTAAATCCTTTAATTAGATTTGACTTTTAACTATGCTTTTGGGTAGTTCAAATTGGCGAGTTGGCAATGAAGATCTTCATTAATTGAGTGACTGACTAGTTAAGCTAGACTGTTGTTAACCTAGAATTCCCTGTTTTGTATTGCAGTGACCAATTTGTGGATGATGCGGTGAAAGAAGATTAAATGGCATACAGAAGAGTAGAAAAAAAACAGAGGAATATCAGAGCATAAGCATTGATTAGTTGTATCCCAGCTTGCAAAAAAATCACGGGATGCTTGCCTGCGTATTAAGTATGGTCCTACTGACGAAGACCAAGAGGTACAAATTTGGAAGCCAATGAGAGAGGCATGCAGAGAGAAAAATAGGGGTACCTTTTCTTTTTTGGTTCAAGTGAACCAACCAACAAGAAGTTAGTTCCCAAGTCTTTTTAAATCTAAAGAAGAATAAATGCGGAGTCAGAGGGTCAAATATTAGTCAGAATCAGGATCAGACGGTCAAATGCTTGACCAGTCGCTGCATTGATTTGGATCCAATGACCCATTAAATGGATGGATCCAACGGTTTGACGGTGGACCCGGCAATGTTTTTGTGTGCTTCATGCTATGCCCCTGTCAAGTCCCACTCCCCTCTCCCCCCCTCTCTTCTGCTTTTCTCCATTTATTATTCTCAACTACGAATTCCCATTCACCCAAAAATACGTTTTTTAAAATCAAAATGAAGCTATATCTATATATTTATTCTTGCATGACAAAATTGCTGCTCTTGTTATAGCAGTGCAGTAGTGTTGGGTTGTTTGTGGTATCTGACAGGTCTCTGAGTATGTTAGTTTGTGTATGAGTGTCACTGAATCCACCTGCAAGCCCTATCTGACCCTGACTTGACCCAGGGAACTTGTGGCCGTGGGGGCTATTTGCCTACCTCAGGAATAACTAAACCTTCTGTCATCTGTTTCAGTACCACCCACCTATGCCACTCAGCTTCGCAGATTGCAAATTCCCCATAGACTTAACAGATCATTAGTGACATTTAAAACTAAATGTTCATTACCAATCTTTTTTAATTACTAAATAAAAAAAATAAGACCATAAAACAACTTTATCGAGTTGATTAACATTTTAGTTTCTCACGGTATTAACGACTAATGGTTGTTTATTTCCTTAATAGTTTCCCTATTTCAATCATTGAAGATTCTGTTATATAAAAAATATATTTTTTAATGTGTTTAATGACACGTATTAAAAAATATTAAATACTTTATATTACTATAAAAAATATGTATTAAAAATAATTCTAAAATAATAAATATTGTTTCATACAAACAAATATACAAAAAATAATTTTTTAATAAAAAATATTTTACATTTTTTTATGTTTCCTTTGTATACACAACAACAAGAAAATCGTATAAAATATTAAGGTTACATTAAACAATTAATAATAATAAGTTTTATTAAAAATATTTATTATACTTTTATAACCTTAGTATAATAAATATTTTTTAAAACTTCGAGATGCTTAAATTTAATTTTAAGAGGTGAAGTTAATTTTTTAAAATAATAATTAAAATACATTTCTCAAAATTGTATTTTAAAAAAACATTTTAGTTTACTTGCTTAAATGTTGCAATGAAAGATGTTTCCCATTTCTTTATTTCAAATGACTTGTGCAACTCTTGGAACATGTTCATGTGTGTAGGGTTTCATTGAAATAAAGTCTAATAAACATTTAGGTCAATGCAAACATTTTTCTATCATGTTTTCTCTTTCCTAGAATGAACAATGGATTTTAGACGGATGATTAAAAACATGCTTAGAATTTGTATTCTCAATATCAATTAAGAATATTGAAGTGAAACCAAAACTGATAAATTGGTTTTATTTTTTATTAATATATCTATCATAAACGAGATGAAATATATTAAAATAAATATTAACTAGTAATTTAGAGTTGTCGTTAAAAAAAACCATACTTTCATCATAATTTGATTATATTCTAAGATAATTTTTAATATACTTTTTATTATTAGTATTCTAATATAAAGTCCTCAAAACACTCGATAACGAGACTGTGCCACGATATAGTTGGCTTTTCTTCCCAAGGAGAAAAACAAGTATCCGACGAGAAGAACAAGAATCCTAGGCTGCATTTGTTTTTTCTTTTGTTTAAAAAAGGGGCCTATCAATAATATGTTTTGTCAATATTTAATGAAAAAACATCAAAGAAGTGTTTACTAATATTTTAATTAAAATTTTTAAAAAAAAATACTATTTATTTTAATATTTTTGGAGAAGAGGTTATATAATTTAAAAATAAAATAAAGAAAAGTGTAAAAAAAGTATTTTAGCATTTCTTTTGCAAAATAAATAAAACAGAAAATAAAGTAAAAACATGATAGTTTTTCTTTAATTAGAAGTTAAAATATACTGAACAAAAAAAACTTAATGTGTTTAACTCAAAATAAGGGTGTTTATAAAACCAACCAGTTAAATCTAACAAAAAAATGATAAATAAAAAACTTAAAGTATGGAAAAACTAATATCTTTATATTAATATTAATTGAATTGAAATGATCTTCGATTTTGATTTTAAATGTTTATGGATCCAACATATTGTCCGTACTTAAATGTTTACTCTGATATAATCACAAAATTTATTGCTTGATATTGAATCGAATTAAGTAAAATTTCAGAATCAGGTTGACTGAATAAAAAAAAAATAAAACTAAAAAGGTATATGAATCATATATTCTCCTCAAGATTGATTGAAAAGTGTATAAACCGGCATACATGAAGAGGTGAAGAATGAGTGTTAATGGAAGGTGTGACCAAATGAGGAGTTGAATTAATTTAAGATGAGGCCAATGGCAAATGAATAATTGATATCTTTCCCCAAAGAGATTGATTGGTTGGACGGTTAAATAATCCAAAAGACAGTAAAGATATATCAGACAAACTATTCCTTTATGGTCGGTGATTCGCCCAAACCCAACTTGTCCTTCTTCGATCGCGACCATCCATTCATCTGTAGCATATCCTGTCACATTTCTCAGAGTTGTTTTTACTATATTCATCCACATTAATTTAATAAAACAAACACTATCAATAGTTTTTCTGAATTTTAATTTCACTCGTAGACACAACGATTATGCAAAGAACAATAGATTTTTAGTTATTAGCGTAAGCTGGGATTGTAGACGATAAAGGGTAAACGTGTGTGCATATACAGATAGATACACTGACGAGTGACATGTCCACGCAAGATGGATGGAGGAAGGTGTCGACGACCGCCAAAGTGGTGAAAGCCACGAGCTTCTTGAGGGTTTATTAATGGGGCAGCCAAATGGGACCCTTATATGTATATATACTGTGCTATCCATTGCTTGCTATTTAGGGTTTATGGCCCCATGAAAATATCCCATACACCTCTTCCTCCACCCATTAAGCCGCCCCTTGTAACGCCACTTCCTCTCTTTCCAAAATCCCAAAAGGAATATTTATGTCATTATTCACATTCCTCTTAAGATTTTTTAGCAGATTACGAGGTCATCCCTTTCATGCACCAATGTTTACCCTTTTTACAGCTATTTTCATTCACTTTTATTTCCCAATTTCGTCACCTTTTCGCCTCACCATTCTATTAGCTTTTATCATATCATGTTACACTTTAATGGTTAAGAAAAATGTTATTTATGTATCTTCGTAATATTTTAAAAATTATTATATAATATTATTTATTTTCCACTCTTATTTTTAATAAATAAATGATTAATTCATCAATATTAACAAAATATAATCACATAAAATATATTTATACTATATTCTAAAAATATTATCATTGAGGCTTATCTCTTTTTTCATATCAACCAAAAGAATTCTCAAGAGCTAGAAACTAATAATTTTGAGACTTAATTATAATAATTTATTAAATAAGTGTTTGATTAATTAATTTACTTAAAATGACCATAAATCATCCTATATCACGTACGAGTCACATTATGGCATTTGTCAGTTTAATAAACACAAGTTATATATACGCAGAATCAAAGGTGGCCTCAATTTGTTTTTAAAATGGTGCTGCTCATTCATTGCTCAATGCTCACATTCACAACGCAAATCAACTTCTCTTTTTCAGTAATCCTCTAGTTTTCACATTTCCTTTTCCATCGTGTTTTT